TTTAAAGTGTCAATACTACCTAAAGCAATCTACAGATTAAATGCAATCCCAATCAGAATCCCAATGATAGAGGCCAACCTGCTGCATAGTGGTTAAGTTCACGTGCTCCTCTTCAGTGGCCCAGGGTTCGCTGGTTTGGATCCTGGGCACGGATCTACACACCTCCTATCAAGCCACGCTGTGGCAGCATCCCGCATAGAAGAACTGAAGGACTTACAACTAGGTAATACAACTATGTACTGAGGCTTTGGGGAGAAAAAATAAAAGAGGAAGATTTGGCAAGAGATGTTAGCTCAGGGCCAATCTTCCTCATCAAAAAAAGCATACCTTTTAACAACAACAAAAAAAGAATCCCAATGACATTCTTCACAGAAATAGAGCAAAGAACCCTAAAATTCATATAGGGTAACAAAAGATCCTGAATAGCTAAAGCAATCCTGAGAAACAAGAACACAGCTGGAGGTGTCACAATCCCTGATTTCAAAATATACTACAAAGCTATAGTAATCAAAACAGCACGGTACTGGTACAAAAACAGGCACACAGATCAATGAAACACAATTGAAAGCCCAGAAGTAAAACCATACATCTAGAGGCTGGCTCCGTGGCCGAGTGGTTAAGTTTGCACGCTCTGCTTCGGCGGCCCAGGGTTTCTCCAGTTCAAATCCTGGGCACGGACATGGCACCACTCATCAAGCCATGCTGAGGCAGTGTCCCACATGCCACAGCTAGAAGGACCCACAACTAAAAATATGCAACTATGTACTGAGGGGCTTTGGGGAGAAAAAGGAATAATAAAATCTTTAGAAAAAAAACCAAAAAGCCCCACACATCTACAGATAGCTAATCTTTGACAAAGGAGCTAAGAACATACAATGGAGAAAGGACAGTCTCTTCAATTAATAGTGTTGGGAAAACTGGACAGCCACATGCAAAAGAATGAAAGTAGACCATTATCTTTCACCACACACAAAAATTAACTCAAAATGGATCAAAGACTTGAAGGTAAGACCTGAAATCATAAAACTCCTAGAAGAAAATATAGGCAGTACATTCTTTGACATCGGTCTTAGTAGGATCTTCTTGAATACCATGTCTACTCGGACCAGAGAAACAAAAGAAAAAATAAACAAGTGGGACTTCATCAGACTAAAGAGCTTCTGCAAGGCAAAGAAAACCAGGAACAAAACAAAAAGACAACTCACCAACTGGGAGAAAATATGTACAAATCATACATCCAATAAGGGGTTAATCTCCAAACTATACAAAGAACTCACACAGCTGAACAACAAAAAATACAAACAACCTGATCAAAAAATGGACAGAGAATGTGAACAGACATTTTTCCAAAGAAGATATACACATGGCCAATAGGCATAAGAAAAGATGTTCAACATCACTAATCATCAGAGAAATGCAAATCAAAACTACACTAAGATATCACCTTAAACCAAGTGGAATGGCTATAATCACCAAGACAAAAAATAACAAATGTTGGGGAGGATGTGGAGAAAGGGAAAATGCTGGTGAGGGTGCAAACTTGTGCAGCCACTATGGAAAACAGTGTGGTGAATTCTCAAAAAATTAAAAATAGAAATACCATATGACCCAGCTATCCCACTACTGGGTATTTATCCAAAGAACTTGAAAGTGACAATTCAAAGAGACTTATGCACCACTAGGCTCATATTTGCAGCCTTATTTGCTATAGCCAAGAAGTGGAAGCAACCCAAGTGCCCATCAACTGACGATTGGATAAAGAAGATGTGGTGTATATATATACAATGTAATACTACTCAGTCATAAAAAAAAGACAAAATCGTCCCATTTGCAACAACATAGATGGACCTTGAGGGTATTAAGTGAAATAAGCCAGACAGAGAAAGACAAATACCGTATGATTTCACTCATATGTGGAAGATAAACTAACACATGAACAAAGAGAACAGTTTAGTGGTTACCAGAGGAGAAGGGAAGGGGGTTGGGGGGTGGGCACAATGGATGAAGGGGCATATTTATGTGGTGACTGACAAGTAATAATGTACAACTGAAATTTCACAATGTTATAAACTACTAAGACCTCAACAAAAATAATTTTTTAAGATATTTTTTTTCTTCCGCTTTTTCTCCCCAAATCCCCCAGTACACAGTTGTATATTTTAGTTGCAGGTCCTTCTAGTTGTGGCATGTGGGACACCACCTCAGCATGGCCTGACAAATGGTGCCATGTCCATGCCCAGGATTCGAACTGGTGAAACCCTGGGCCGCCGAAGCAGAGCTCGCAGGCTTAACCACTCGGCCACAGGGCTGGCCCCAATAAAAATAATTTTTAAAAACTGAAAGTAATAAATGGTTATAGCAAGGTTAATGTACAAAAATTAATTGATTTGTAATTAAAAACACAATACTTTTTACATTAGCACCCAAATGAATGAAACACTTAGGTGTAAATCTATCAAAATACAAGATCTATATGAGGAAAACTATAAAACTCTGATGAACAAAATCAAAGCACTTAATAAATTGAGAGATACTCTATCTTCATGCATTGGAAGACTGAATATTGTTAAGATGTCAGTTCTTTCCAACTTGACCTATAGATTCAATGCAATCCCAATCAAAATCCCAGCAACTTACTTTATGGATATTGACAAACTGATTCTACAGTTTATATGGAGAGCCCAAAGATCCAGAATAGCCAATACAAAATTGGAGGAGAAGAACAAAGTTGGAAGATGGAATCTACTGACTTCAAGACTTACTCTGAAGCTGCAGTAATCAAGACAGTGTGGTATAGGTGAAAGAACAGACAAAGAGAGAACAGAATAGAGAGCCCAGAAATAGACCCTTACAAATATAGTCTACTGATCTTTGATAAAGGAGCAAAGGTAATACAATGGAACAAAGAGAGTCTCTCCAACAAATGGTGTGGGAACAACTGGACATCCACCTGCCAAAAATGAATCTAGACACATAACTTACACTCTCCACAAAAACTCAATCAAAATGGATCATAGAGCTAAATGTACAATGCAAAACTATACAACTCCTAGAAGACAACGTAGGAGAAAACCTAGATGACCTTGGGTATGATGATGCCTTTTTAGATACAACACCAAAGGTGCAATCCATAAAAGAAATAATGGATAAGCTGGGCTTCATTAAAATTAAAAACTTCTGCTCTGTAAAAGACACTATCGAGAGAATTAGAAGACAAGCCACAGACTGGGAGAAAATATTTGCAAAAGACACATCTAGAACCATTATCCAAAATATACAAAGAACTCTTTAAAACTCAACAATTTGAAAATGAACAACCAGATTAAAAAATAGGCCAAAGACCTTAACAGACATCTCACCAAAGAAAATGTACAGATGAAAATAAGCATATGAAAATATGTTGCATATCATTTGTCATCAGGGGAATGCAAATTAAAACAACAATGAGATATCACTACACAACCACACATCTATTAGAATGGCCAAAGTATGGAACGCTGATAACACCAAATGCTGGGGAGGATGTGGAGCAACAGGATCTCTCATTCATTGCTGGTGGAAATGCAAAGTGGTCCAGCCACCTTGGAAGACAGTTTGGAGGTTTAACTAAACATACTCGTACCATAAGATCTAGCAATCACACTCCTTGATATTTACCCAAAGGAATTGAAAATTTATGTCCACACAAAACCTGCACACGATGTTTACAGCAGCTTTATTGATAATTGTCAAAACTTGGAAGGAACCAAGATGTCCTCCAGTAGGTGAATGGATAAATAAACTGTGGTCCATCTAGACAATGGAATATTACTCAATGCTAAAAAGAAATTAGCTATCAAGCCATGAAAAGACATGGAGGGACCTTAAATGCATATTTCTAAGTGAGAGAAGCCAATCTGAAAAGCTACATACTGTATGATTCCAACCAAATGACTTTTTGGAAAAGGGGAAACGATAAAAAGATCAGTGGTTGCCAGTAGTGGGGAGAGGGACAGGCAGTGCACAGAGGATTTTTAGGGCAGTGAAAATACTTTGTATGATACTATAATGATGCATATATGTCATTATACGTTTGGTCAAACCCATAGAATTAGAATGTACAGCACCAAGAGTGAAGCCTAAGTTTAACTAGAGATTTTGGGCGATTATGATGTGTCAGTGTAGGTTCATCCTTGGCAACAACATTCTGGTGAATGATGTTGATAATGGGGGAGACTGTGCACGTGTCGGGGCAGAGAGTATACGGGAAATCTCTGTACCTTCCTCTCAATTTTGTTGTAAACCTAATTGCTCTAAAAAAATTAAGTCCTTTAAAAAAAAATAAATTCAAAGGAATCTCCCAGAGTGTAGGAAAAAAGTCAAAGATATAGACAAGAGTAAGGATAAGATACTCAGAGAATCAGTCCAGGAGTCCATCGTCTGACCAGGAGGAGTTTCAGAGAGAACAGAGAAAATAGACAAGATGAAGTTATCTTAGAAGTGAAGAACCGGTGAATAGATTTAAAACAGCAACAACTATTGTATAGTCATACAATAGAATATCACTCAGGATTAAAAGGAACAAACTGCTGATACATGTAATAACATGTATACACATCAAAAACATGCTGAGTAAAAAGCTCAAAAGAGCAGATACTGCATGATTTGATTTATACAAAGTTTTAGGGCAGACGAAACTAATCAATGGTGACAGAGTGGATAAGTGGTTCCTGGGGTGGAGGAGGGATGGACTTCATGGGAATTTTGCAGGTTAGGAAAATCATTCTGGTGGGAAGAGTGACTGGAGACAATGAGCTGAAGAGCTTATTAGGGCCATATAACTTCTGGGCCTGTGGGACCTGTGAGATCAGTTATCACAAATGTGTTGTGGCACCCATCTGCACATTAGTATAATTTTCTCTAGAGCACCCAGCAGTCCAGGTGTAAGAAAATGGAAAAGGATGCTTAGACTCATCCATGGTTAGAATTTCTTCAGCTGGAAAAAACTGCAGCAAAGAGCAGTGCACCAAGGCCGTTGAGAGTGGCATCCAGGCAGACAAGAAAGATAAAAGGAGGCTGACAGATTGGCAGAATAGTAAAGAGCTGGGAGATGAGAGATCATGATGAAGCCAGAAAGTGTGTGTAGGGAAGTGAGGGAGAGGCTGTGATCAGCGGCATGTTGGAGTAATTTAGGGTGATGACTAGTCCCAGGTGACATTTTAGAAGTATCGACAACAAGGAATGAGCTCTAAGATACGTTGTTCAGTGAAAAAGGTGATGTACAAGAAAGTGTGTATAGTAGGCTACCATGAAAAGGGGGAGACCATTTATCTGTGTTGACTTGTATGTAAGTAAACTATTTCTGGAAGGAAATACAAGAAGCTTACATATCGATTGGCTCTGGGGAAGGACAGCGGGTGGCTGGGGACACAAGACGAAGGAAGACGTTCACATCATTCCCTTTTGTTCTCTTGAATATTGAACCGTATGTGTTATTACCTTAAACAAAAAAGAAGGAAAAAGAAATTAGACGTGATGTAATGAATAAAAACAGAATACAAAGTGAGGTATTCACTCTTCAAGTATATACATTAGGCATACATATGAACAAATACTAGAGGGTAAGAGAAAAAAGCCCAGTTTGATTTGTTTAAAAATATAGAAGAAAATGTTTTAAAAGAAGGCAATTTTTAAAGAAAGGAAACAGATCAGCTGGACATTCTAGATTTTATACTTCGTTCAATGGTTAAACACTTACTGAGCACCTATTGTGCTGGTGCGGATCAGAGATTATACACACACAGTGTGATTCTGAGAGCCAGTGGCACTAAAGTCGTGTATGTAGTTCCTTTGTGATATGTTGTCTACTGTGTCCTTGATGCCTTATATTCAGTGAGCTTGCTTTTGTGGTATGCCTAGCATGTAAATGCAAGTCTCATACAACAATCTTGAGACTTAGCAATTTCCCTGGACTGCTGTTCGTTACACTTTGCTGAATGCCCTGATTCTTGACGCACGTGACGTCTCCATTACCCATTCAAAACACTGGAGAGAGATTGTGATTCCTAAGGGGAGCCACAAACTGATGGGAGATGTGATCTGGTTACACACACAGACACACGCCACCCACCCCCCATCTGTGCTGAAAAACTTGAGATCTTTTCATGCCTCAGAATTTGTCAACCATGTATCTTCCCTACCAGTTACCTGCCCCCATGCCCATCCATCCCTGTCCTCCTTCTCACTGTCTTACCTGGTCCTCAAATAACTGGCCTCTCGCTCACACTCCAAACCCTGACACTAACTCTGAAGATAAGGAACCCGAGGATATAGGAGACAATGTATCTGAGCTCCCAGCAACATCACGGCCGTGTTAGTTCTTGGTTTGTTTAGAGGTACACATTCCAAAAGAAGGGTCAAAGGCTGCTTTTCTTACCCCCAAAATTCCCCCAAGTTTCTCCACCAGAGAGAGTGTTAGCTTGCCCCAGGTAGGGGTAGGGTGGGTAGTATGTGACCAGTTCACCTATACTCCATGCCAGGGCTGACAAATAAAAGAAGCTGCACACACGTGTTCCAGATGATTGACCTAGACTGCGTTCCATTTACTACAGGGCCAGCCACAGAGGAGAGGCTCACTGAATGCACTGACTTCACCTGAACCAAAGAATCGGTTCATAATTCAGTCTATAAAATAAATGTACTCGAAGTTTTTGTTATAAAAGGTACCCTAAAACTTCCACTTAGGAAATCTTCTCTACTAGTTCTTTGACTTGAAAGTTGACTGCTTCCGGATTTCTCACACACGCACACGTCCTCATTTACTCTATTATCAGGACCAGATTTGCCTGATTAGAAAGTAGAATAGTAAAGAAAACCAATAATTAAGAGACTAACGGAAGAGTTAAAAAAAAAATCAACCTAACTAGTGTTTCAGGACGAAAGAAACTCAGGGGCCTGCAGAGAGATTTGGATTGTGTTTTTCCTTTACTTTATGATCAAGTCATGCGAATACAAACCAAAAACACAACTTGAACTGAACACACATTTCACTCATGACTAATTACAAAGCAGGCATTTCAAATCAGCGTTGAGCTAATGTTCTTAGAACAATTATTTAATTTTCAAGGTCCAATATCTGTCGAGTAAATCACCAATTTCCATTTCATTCTTATTTAATATAAAAAAATCAAATTAGTATAAAGCTATTTCACAGCTGTCTTTAAATTAAACCATAGTCAAGAGCATGCAGCATTTGGGGTTTGCTTCAGCATTGCCAAAGCAAACATTCTTTTCATTCAAGTATTAAAGAACATTACCAAAAGTTACATTTTATTGTGAAGTTTTAAGCTGGGCTTCATAATCTCAGATTTTAATTTGTGATTTTTCACAAGTAACTCAAATATTGAAATGTATGTTTCTAAGGACAGGGCTTGGCTGCAGAGCAGAGTATGAAACATATACATTATTTTGTAACCAGCTTTTGTTAATAAGAAATTTAAGAATCACCAACTCAGCTATTAAGGCATTTTTGTTAATAAAGTTTTTCTTGCATTAGGTAGCAGACTGGATCTTCTAGTAGCAAACGTAGACCTTCAAAGAGAAATCAACAATCCCATTTTTCTAGTAAGATATATTTGCCAGGAAAGCATAGATTGTTCAAATACCTTGTGAATAACTTGTTACATAATAAATTAACCCAGGTAAATTACCAGGAAATGAGTCTGTTTGGTTGGGTCAAAGATGATCACGGGACTTGTGGTTTCAGTGACTTTCACCTTTTGGTAATTTGAAGTGACTCACCATGCAGGCTGTGCAGTACAGCAGAAGAGCCTCAGCTGGATTTGTCTGGGTTCCAGCTCTGCCTTGTACTAGTTATAGTAGTTTAGGTGGGTCACTTCAATTTCTCTGATCTTGGCTTCCTCATTTATAAAATAGGGAAAACACGTGTTCTCCTCACTGGGGATCAATGTAATGTTTGTGAAAGAACCTTGAGAAAACCTCACACACATACCCTGTAAAGCAAAGGCAATTAATGATGAGTGCATTAAAGCCTAGAAATTTCCTTCTATTTCAATATGCGATGCTTAAACTAATAGACTTTTTCTGTACGTAAAAATCTAGAGAACATTTGTTTTTATTAAAGATGGGCACTTGAGCTAACATCTGTTGCCAATCTTCTTTTTTTTTTTCCATCTTCTTCTTCTCCCCAAAGCCCCCCAGTACATAGTTGTATATTCTAGTTGTAGGTTCTTCTGGTTGTGCTATGTGGGATGCCGCCTCAGCATGGCCTGATGAATGGTGCCATGTCTGTGCCCAGGATCCAAACCGGCGAAACCCCAGGCTGCCTAAGCAGAGTGCGCCAACTTAACCACTTGGCCACAGGGCCGGCCCCTAGAAAATCTTCTTATCTAATTCTATCACTGAACATAGGATGGGAGACACTGTTTTAATATTATTGTTATCTATAGATTTGTGATGTCTCTAGATATAAAACTGGCTTATTACTTTGAGTATATTGTAAAATCATGAGAAATTCTAATATTTGTTGTTTACTAAATAGAATACTCCTTAAAATTCAGTTTGTGTCTAACCAAACTTGGAAGTTGGGATGAAAAAGAGTCAGTGTTAGCCTGGATTTTGGAGATTTTTCTATATATTGTTATGGCCTTTTTCTTCTTGAAAATAGAAATAAAGGCCATACTGATATTCAGGGTTCTGATAGTATGTTTTTGCTCAAAATGTATCGTGAACCAAAGTCAACTCTACAGTGGTCGACACCACCCAATCAGAAGAATGTCTTGATTTATTAATCTTTAAGAAAGATAAAATAGATGAGTCACTAGATCCCTGGCTCCTCTTACGGGGTCTTTGAAGGAAATAAGAACTAACCGTCCCTCACCCCATTTCTGTTGTAAGAGTCTTGCGAGAAGGAGTGAGTGAAGACTTCTTCTGTTCTGATGGATGGGGCCCAAGAGCACTGTGTAAGATCTGACCCCTGCATGTAAACCAGACTTGCTGCAGCTGACATTACACCTTGCGATGATGTTCTGTGACCCAATTCAAATAGGTCTCTCTCCAGGATGGGAAAGAGAACCAGAGAAAAAAGACCAATAGCACCATATCCACTGTAAGTCATGTCCACTCAGAGAAGAAATCTGAACTGTGAATCTCCACTCTGGGCCAAGGGAACAGGGGAGGCAAGGGAGCAGAGATTGAGCCACTCCCATCTTCTCCCCTTTTCCCCCACACCACTGTGACTCCTTTTTCTTTCTAAAGTGCCTGGTGTAAAAAAGTGCTTACTGTGCACTTTTGAATTATTCAGGTGGGCTGGAAAAACTGAGTTGGCCCAGAAGCAATTCTGCAACACCAATGTTGTTTTCTGTTAACTAGTTTCAGAACTTTGTTAATTATAATATACTATAAATTAGAAACTGACAAAAATTCGCTATGAAGTTCTAAGATATAGCTACCCTTCAGCAGCAGCAGTATACCATCCTTCTCTCAACCAATCTCTCAATCTCTTAACCACCTGCTATGCCATAACATTTGTACCTGTTACCATGTTCTAGACAAGAATATCGTTGAATGAACGGGAAGCTCTTTTAAAGATTTCAACGTGTTCCTGTTTAAAAAGGTTTCAGCACTGTCACATACAAATAACTATGGCAACACATAAACGTTTGACATTCAGAGCTGACCTGTTGTCAGGAGTTTGGAGGAACAGTCATAAACTGCAAGGATGATAGACTGGATTGAAAACATAATTTGTGGACTGCCTGGATGATGCCATTAGAAATGGGGTGGGCATGCCCATCTAAAAATAAAAAGGCCCTTTGCTCTCCTCTATTAACTTGCCTGGATCAAAAATACTAGACTGATCCCAAGCAGGAAAGGGACAGCCACACTTGTAAGTGCAGTTGCTGCTTTCTGAGCCTGCCAGGGTGCTGGGCCTACCCTCTATACCACAATATTTGGCAATGTCTGGAGACATTTTTAGTTGTTATGACTTGGGGGAAGATGCAACTGACATCAAGTGGGCAGAGGCCAAGGATGCTGCTAACATCCTATGACGCACAGGACAGCCCCCAGAGCAAAGAGTTATCCAGCCCAAAATGACAAGAGAGCCGAAGTTGAGAAATCCTGCTCTACACCATCAAGACCTCTTCCTACATCGTTGCAGAAATGCAAATTTCTTGAAAACTCACAAAATGAGAGGCAGAGTGGAGGGAGGAACTAATGATAGCACAAGCACAAGTGCAGAAGATGTTATCAGAGTCTTTGAGTAGTTAGATGAAAACTAAGAGTTAGACCAGGAGCTGTGCAAAATCTGTCTGCCATCAGTTGTAGACATGAGATGGAAATTCAACCGTCATCCCAATGAACAGGAAGCGAGGCCAAGGGCAATCCCCCTAGTGCTTAGATAGCACTCATAAGTGTAGGGAACAGAAAGATGTCCTCAGATACACCGAGCCTCAGAAGATGTATCATCAAAATACTGTTCTTGGGAAAAAAAAATTACTTGAGACTTAGCTCCAGCTGACCAAGAACTGACTCAAAATTAAGAAATGAAAAATAGGGAAGTTTGGGCAGCAAAACTCAGGAATCCACTTTAAATATGCATTGTCAGATTGTACAGCTCAAAGGTAAAGCGTGGCTCTGTAATCCTTCCTTCGAGGACTCCTTACCCGTGTAAGGAACTGTTGAAAGTCATAACTTTCACTTCACAGGTGGATGAATGCTTTAAAGAGCTACTGCTGTCACAATCAAGGACACATTTGGGACAAGGCTTGGAGAATTACAAAACAAGTTTTGTTCATTTGTTGGATTAATTTTTCTCCCAAACATAAAAGAAGAGTTTTATAGAGGTAGACTGGTCATTTTTTATTGCTAAGTAATTCAAGTAAGCAATTTTTGGCATCTTTTAAATGAATACTGAGTGACTTGGGTCACTGAGATATTTTTTTAATTGGGAAAGACAAATATTTCATTGATATTAATTATAGTCAAGTCCTTGCCATTTTTCCATGTAGGATGAATAAATCTTCCTTTGTTAATAATGTCTAAAAATCATATGACAAATGGTTTAACTTATTTACATATATACATACAGAATATCACCACAGAAAAGGGACAGAAGCAAAATGTTTGCAATGACTATCTCTGGATAGCAGATCTATAGGTGCCTTCTGTTGTATACTCTTCTGTATTTTCCAAATTTTCTAGGAGAATGTATTCTTTTTATAATACAAATTTTAAAAAATATATACCAATAACTATTATGCAAGTAAACGCACAGGAAAAAGACTAGAAGGAAATGAACCAAAGGACGTCTTTCATTCATTCATTTGTTCATTCATCCCACAGAAACTTAGTGAGCACCTGCTCTACCAGGTCTGGGGCTGGGTACTGACCACGGCCAAGTGTGGAGCCCTACCATCTCCAGCAGTGAGCTTTCAGTGTTTTTCTTCTTCCTTTTGTACTTCTTTAAAGTTTTATTTTGAATCTGTTTTTACTTATAAAATGACAGGGCATTATATTTATTTTTAAAAGATTCTGATAGAGCTATAGTTCAGAAAGAGTGTGTTGGTATAACTGTGTAGCCACGTTCTCACAGACAAGCTTTTGAGATATTCACTTATTTTTATTTATTTTTTTTAAAGATTTTTAATTTTTCCTTTTTTTCTCACAAAGCCCCCCGGTACATAGTTGTGTATTTTTAGTTGTGGGTCCTTCTAAATTGTGGCATGTGGGATGCCGCCTCATCATGGCTTGATGAGCGGTGCCATGTCGGCGCCCAGGATTCAAACTGGCGAAACCCTGGGCTACCAAGCGGAGCGCGCGAACTTAACCACTTGGCCATGGGGCCGACCCCGAGATAGTCACTTATTTTTGAAGTAACATTGGCATTCCACAGGAAGGCTTTGTCCTGCCCCTTGCAAATTCATTTCCTTAGCAAACAGAAGCCATAATTTTTAGAAAAAATTTAATTTTATTAGTAAGATTTTATATCTTCAACATCTGCCTATTTTAATATAAGTAATGTATACTTTTTTGAAGAGCAAATTTTTTATATGTGTTTCTTTAATGTTATTTAACTATCATGAACTACCTTTTTCGATAACAAGTGTTTTGGGGTAGTAAAAATATAAAAAATGTACAGTGTAAAATAAATTTGAATTTATATAAATACAAAATATCTATACCACGTCCTTTTGTGAATGAGATTTATCTTTGGATTTATCTTTTTCACTCTTCTTCTTCTGTTTTTCGTCTGCTTGTTTTTCAAAATAATCTTTAAGGAGATGGTTCAGCTGTGGTTCACACTGGCTTGCATGTTGTAATCCGCCTTCCCTTCCTTAAAAAGATAGAAAATATGAGCCAACTATACTTTAGTGTGGTTCCCAATTTATCATTTCAGTCATCTCCCACAGTGGCAAATTCGGAGCTGTTCCTACATGAACCACTCCAAGCACTAACCTAAAAGTCAGTTTTAATTCAAAATGCTTGAATTCAACACATTTTTATTTTACCTTCACAGTGTTGGATCACACGCCCCCATAGTCGATTTTTCCTCAAACAGGCTAAATTTCCCACAATCAACAAATGCCTCCTTCCTCTGGTCAATGCAACGTTCATTCTCTTTTCTGAGTCAATGAATCCTACTTGTCTCGTCCTTACACAGGACAGAATAATGATCTCCTTCTCAGCTCCCTGGAAAGCATCTACGGTGGACACCTGCACAGCTTTAAGATGAGGATGGTCGAAGTCCACGGCACTCAGTAAGTGACACAGCTGTGGGGGAAGAAGACAGGGATCAGGCAGTGCAGAGACCATGAAGAACTTAAGCCCTGAACCTACTCGCAGCGACCATTTCAATTTAACAAACAGTGGATAATTTTCATTTTCTTTATGACTCACATAGATTTAGCTAGATAGTTTCTAAAATGATAGATAAACAACTAGATGACAATATAAATTATGACACAAAATCAAAAGTGATGACTTATCTATTCCTGGGGAACTCATTTGGATATGCTAATTTAGAGTTGATAAACTAATAATGAAACGGATGAAAAATACTAAAAAAAAAACTGGTTAGAAGTAATTGGCTCATGTGTATATTAATATCTGGTATCTATCTTTGATTTACTGATAAAATGTAATAATAATGAAAGAACATTCTGGAAAACAGAGATTCAATCCCATCTGTCCCAAAACACAAAGCATACACCACATTTTCTTCCCTCTAATTTGTTTATTTGCATTTTTGCCTCAACAGCTGTAAAGTGAATTTAATTAAACCTTGTTAGGTTTACATTTAATTATACAGAAAAAAACCCAGACCAGACAAAAATCAGAATGTTTCTTTTTTAATATATTAACTATAGTCCCCAAAGTTTTTCAAGCACCAAACCAAACTACTACAAATGTAATATCAAATACTGTAATATAAAATTATAATATTTAATAGATGATAAATATCATAATACGTAATACAAACCTTGTACATCTGGGATTTGTATAATGTTATCACCCCAATCAGAGAGCCCGAGATTCCACTTGCAATCAGTGATTGAATCAGCTTGAGTGTAAAAGCAGCTTCTGCCACATTATGAAAGCTGTTATCTCTTTCAATCTGGAATAAGAAACAGACCCTAAATTCTGTTTCCCAGAAAGGCTATGGAAAGACCAAGGAAATCATACAAACAACAATGAAATTAAACCAGGAAACTAAACCGTGTTGACTCTCATCAGCATTAATGTCATTTACCTGTTCCAGTCCTTTGACATTATAGAAACACAGCGTTGGTAGCCATTCCAATAAAGGGCTCCTCTCTGTTTCCGAAACACCGTTTATGAGGTTTCCTTCATAAAACAGATCATTAGCAATAGCACTGATCGCAGGGTGACAACGGTACTGGGTTCTCAATAGAACTGGCTTGTGACCCTTAGAAAGTTAAATGCAGAAAAATAAAAAATTAAAACAGCATTTTTTTTCTTAGGAAAAAAAAGTACTTTAAAATTTAAAAATATTGCCATATTGAACCAGCCCTGATGGCCTAGTGGTTAAAGTTTGGCACACTCCACTTCGGTGGCCCACGTTCAGTTCCCGGTCGTGGAACCACACCACTTGTCTGTCAGTGGCCATGCTGTGGTGGCTCACACAGAAGAACTAGAAGCACTTATAACCAGAATATACAACCATGTACTGGGGCTTTGGGGAGGGAAAAAAAGAGGGGAAGATTGGCAATAGATGTTAGCTCAGGGCAAATCTTTCCCAGCAAATAAATAAACAAACAAATAAATAAAAATAAAGCCATATTTTGCTCTTAGTAAATGAATTACAACCATGATAAAACAGACTGTAAATAAAAATAATTTTTAAAAATTACTAAAAATATTCCTGGTAAACTATTATTACACCACCAAATTATAAAATATAAAAGAAGTTTGCACCTAACATTATGCTTTCATAATCTATGCGGAGTTGGTCTAACACTAATTGAAAAAGAATCTTTAAAAGCATTAGAAAGTGTTGTTGATAACTCATTTATTAACTTTCCTCCTTGGGTACAAGCTATGTTTCATTCTGAATCTTCAAAGAAGTTTCTAATTTTGTTAAGCCCTCATAAAGTCAAGTCCCATCTACATTAGGGCTCTTCTGGAGCACATTCTTTATTCGCAAAATGTTCCGTAGTATTGTTTCAACATTTTGAATAGCTACAAGATATTCTAATAATAATGATACATAATAAAATGTTGGATTAATGATCACATAGACAATGTATCTTCTATGGGGGAAAAACATGCAAGAAAAACATCAATCCTCAGTACTCTTTAGGGCAACAGTATGTGGATAAGTTGAAGTCGGTGGGCATGGGAAACCTCTGACAAAAAGCTTTAGGTATAAAAATGCTCAAAGGATCATTGTTTATAACTTAAAACAACATTAGAGAGGGGCTGGCCCTGTGGCCAAGTCGTTAAGTTCGCACGCTCTGCTTCGGCGGCCCAGGGTTTCCCTCGTTTGAATCCTGGGCATGGACATGGCACCACTCATCAAGCCATGCTGAGGCAGCATCCCACATGCCACAACTAGAAGGACCCACAACTGAAAAATACACAACTATGTACTGGGGGGTTTTGGGGAGAAAAAGGAAAAAAAAAATAAAATCTTAAAAAAAACCCAAAAACATTAGAGAAATGACTAAATTATGGTATATCCATACAACATAATATTCAGTGATTAAACATATTTATGACAACAGTGAATGATTACAAAGCTAGTAATAACACAGGGACATCATTTATTATAATGTAAAGTTAAAAAAAGATAGGATAGAAATTATATTAACGGTATGATCTCAACTATGTAAAAATACATATATACATATTTTCCAGTTTTATTTAGATATGATTGACATATAACACTGTATAAGTTTAAGGTGTACAATGTGTTGATTTGATACATTTATATATTGCAAAATGACCTCCACCACAGCCTTAACTAACACCTCCATCACGTCACATAACTACCATTTCTTTTTAGTAGTAAGAACATTTAAGACCTACTCCCTGAGCAACTTTCAAGTATATAACGCAGTATTATTAACTACAATCACCGTGCTGTACAACAGATCCCAGAACTTACACCTCTTATAACTGGAAGTTTGTACCCTTTGACCAACATCTCCCCATTTCCCCACCCTCCAGCCCCTGGCAACCACCATTCTACTCTTAGTTTCTGAGTTTGGCTTTTTAATATTCCACATATATATAACACACACACACACACCATAAAATACATAAAATATATAAAAATACATATACCTGATACATACATACACCCCTAGGATAAAAGCTGGAAGAAAAAAACACTGAAATATTACAAAGGGTTTTCTCTTGGGGGTGGTGAGGTTATTATAGATGTATTTTTACCTTTTTACTTTTCTGTAGTTTCCATACTTTCTATCATGAGTAGTAGGTATTACTTTCATTTCTTTTGCTTTTAACTAATTCTGAACTAGTTCAAATATACAGAAAAACAAAATGTGACATTAGTATTTAGTCATATTTGCTTCAGATCTCTCTTTTGTTAAGAAATAAAATGCGACATACATAGCGAAAGCCCCTCCCTCTCCTGTCTTTTACCACCTTCCCCAGAAATAGCCCCAGTGCCGAGTTTTTTTTTACGGCATCCCACGTGAGTTTTACGTGTTTACTGCACTGGCACACATTGATGAACAATATATATTATTTGTTGGGCTTTTGAAATTCACATAAGGATATTTTACTGTAAATCTCCCTTTGTACCTTGCTTCTTTCAACATCCACTATGTTTTTGAGAACTCTCTATATGGATCAGGTTCATTCATCTTAATCGTTTTATATTATTCCATTCTGTAACTAAATCACTTTTTAGTCTATCCTTTATTTGTCCTTTTAAAATTCCCTTAAAAAGTCTACTTCAGGGGCTGGCCCCGTGGCCGAGTGGTTAAGTTCGCGCGCTCTGCTGCAGGCGGCCCAGTGTTTCGTTGGTTCAAATCCTGGGCGCGGACATGGCACTGCTCATCAAACCACGCTGAGGCAGTGTCCCACATGCCACAACTAGAAGGACCCACAACAAAGAATATACAACTATGTACTGGGGGGCTTTGGGGAGAAAAAGGAAAAAAATAAAATCTTAAAAAAAAAAGTCTACTTCATATTTTAAAAGTCATCGACAACAGAGAGGTGAAAGCGCAAAGGGCATAACAGCACACATAATATGCTACCATTTGTAAAACGGGGGAAAGTATTTTATGTATTTGCTTATATTGGCATAAATTATTGCTAGCAGGATACAAGAAAAAGATGACGGTTGCTTTTAGGGAGAGGAACTGAGTAGTTGGGGGGATAGGAGTGGAAGTCTTTTCACTGTCTATACTTTTTGGTTCTGCTTAAATTTTGAATCATGTGACAAAATTACCTATTCAAAATGTTTTAAGATTTTTTTTCCCTCAGGAAGATTCACCCTGAGCTAACATCTGTTGCCGATCTTCTTTTTGCTTGAAGAAGATTCGCCCTGACCTAACATCCGTGCCAATCTTCCTCTAATGTATATGTGGGTTGCCACCCCACCATGGCCACTGATGAGAGGTATAGGTCTGCACCCAGGAACTGAACCCAGGCCGCCAAAGTGGAGCACACCAAACTTAACCATAAGGCCAGACCCAAGAATTTAAATAATTTTTTAAATTAAGATTTTTAAGAAGTCATTAAAAAAGTTTGATTCAAAGGAGCCTGGACAGTGACTTATCACGGAAGGGGTAGAAAGTTTTGCAATTCAATTACAATTAAAAGCTCAAGACAACTGAGAGCTTGGGTCTTCACAAAATTAAGTAGAACTCAATTAAAATCTCACTGTCACTTGAAACTCAACGTAGGGAGAATTTCCGAATTAAGAAGGTGGCAGGAAAAGCCACCTTGCAGAATCCATTCTCCAATATCTAAAGGAACAACAACAAACACTAAAAACAACAGCAAAGGAAAAGTTCAGCAGCCAGGCCGAAAGAAGGATTTACAGCCAACCCAATGACATAAACTTTAAAATGTGGTTGTCGTCAAGAAAGAAAGAAGTTTCTGGGGTGGAAAGGAGAAATGCAGTGTAGCGAGATTCCTAATTTCTCCAGAAGTCATATAATGGAAATGGCTCCTAAGAAGGAAAATGAAACAGAGCAAGTGAACTGAGAGGTTTTTGGTGGAAGTGAAGGCTCTGAGGACCAAACATCAAAATGATGGGACACCTCAGGCTCCAGAACATCCCTCATCTGGGAAAGGGACAACACTGCCAACCATGTGGAGCGAATTCTGGTGCAGCGAATTTAACAAAACCTTAGAAGTGAGAGAGCCCATGTAAGCTAATGCAGACAGCACATATTCTTACTGAGCTCTAGTCCAATCCCACCCCTCCTCGTCTCCCACCAGCATATTTTCAGGGTACTGGGAAAACAGAGAGAACACAGAACACAAATCTGAGAGAGATGCCCACTAGAGAACATCAGGAAATGAAAGAGGAATGGCAACTGTGCAAATGTTATGGAGCCTCAAAATTAATAAAGTCAAGGAAGACAATGCAACAGATACATGTAGAACACAGCCTAGACAAAAATATAGCCAGAACCAGAAGGAAATTTTCCACAAGTTTTCAAGCTTTAGTATACAATCAGAATATGATTCAGTGAAACAAAATCTCAAAGGTGTGATGATGAAAAGATGACGAGATTAAAAGGGAAATTTCAATCCTAAAGAATAAACAACTAAAAAAATATCATTAAGGGGCTGGCCCCGTGGCCGAGTGGTTAGGTTCGCGCGCTCCGCTGCAGGCGGCTCAGTGTTTCGTTGGTTCGAATCCTGGGCGCGGACATGGCACTGCTCATCAGACCACGCTGAGGCAGCGTCCCGCATGCCACAACTGGAGGAACCCACAACGAGGAGTGCACGGCTGTGTACCGGGGGGCTTTGGGGAAAAAATAAAATCTTTAAAAAAAAAAAAAAAAAAAATATCATTAAAGAACTGATAAACTACAAGCAGCAAAAAACAAATAGAATTTTCATCACAAAACTCAGTATAACCCAACTCAAAACTGAATGCAACTTCACACTCAACATAAGGGGAACAGAAATAAAATTTCTGACATAGAAGAAAAGGCTTCACAGATAATGCAGATGAAATTAAAGTAATACAAATGGAAGACAGATAAAGACACCCAATATAAGAATAACTGGGGTACCTCTGTGTTATGGACTCAATGTTTATGCCCCCCATTCATATGCTGAACCTCTAAACCCCAGATGGTATTTGGAGGTGGGGCATTTGGAAGGTAATTAGGTTTAGATGAGGTCACGAGGGTGGGGTCCTCATGATGAGATTAGTGCCTTTTTTATAAGAGGAAAAGACCAGAGTTTTCTTTCTCTCCACCATGTGAGGGCACAGCCAAGAAGACAGCCCTTACCAGGAAGTGAATCTAAGGGCACCTTGATCTTGGCCTTCTCAGACTCCAGAACCGTGAGAAATAAATGTCTGTTGGTTAAGCCTACAGTATTTTGTTATAGCAGCCTGAGCTGACTAAGACATTGATAGAAAACCCACCAAATGGAACAAAAAACTTTCCTGAAACAAAGAACAGAATCTCCACTTTGAGAAAATTTATATTACAGGACGAAGAGATACAGAACACTCCAGGTCCACATATATTGTAGTAAATTTATCAACTTTACAGTCACAGGTTATAGAAAGAGTTCTTGCATCCAGGTAGAAAAGTAATCAGGCTGGCCCTAGAATTCACAGTAATCATCCATGCAACTATCCAATAGGCCAAGGTGCCATTTACATTTAAAGGCAATAGATCTTTTAAACATAAAAAGAATTCAGGAAGGTAAGCATCTATGAGCCATTCCTGAAAAAAATAAACGGATGACGAAGTCCAAAGCACTCAGATGAATGAAGAAGCTAAGTACTGAATCTTTAAATACAGAACTGATTCTAAATAATTGTACAAATTCTGATTGTAGAACGAAAATAATAACAATATATGTAACAAAATAGGAACATGGGAGGGGGTGAGAAAGAGGGGAAAAAAGCATGAGAGCACTAATGTCTCTTCCTCCCAGAGCAGAGAAATCAACCCAGTCTGTCCAAAATCTCTTGTTAGAGGGATTTTTAGGGAATAATATCTGTTATGGGTGAAAAAATATTTACTTGAGATTTAATAATTTTTTTAGTTTCATTTCAGTTTTTCTTCCTCTGTTAAGAAATTACGGATTATTGAAAGTTCAGCAAAATAATTCCTTAAATGCAATTTAAACTAGCAACAATGATAAAATTTTTCTTTTGGCAAAAAATTTTTTACAATTCTTTTGGCTGTACTATTTTAATTTTCTGCTTATAAAAATAGCTTGATTTAGATTATTGCATCAAAACAATAGTAATGATGAATAGATAAGAACTTGTGGTACATAAAAAGTAATGAAGTCACAAAGACCGATGGAATAGAACAGAGATCCCAGAAATAAACGTGCACACATATAGTCAATTGATTTTTGACAAGGGCACCAAAACCACTCAATGGGGAAAAGACAGTCTTTTCAACAAATGGCACTGAAAAAACTGGACATCTATATGGAAAAGAATGAAGTTGGTCTCTTACCTTATACTATATGCAAAAATTAACTCAAAATGGATGAAAGACTTAAATGTAAGAGCCAAAACTATAAAACTCCTAGGAGAAAACACTGGGGGAAATCTTCACAACATTGGATTTGGCAACAGTTTCACGGACATGACACCAAAAGCATGAACCACACAAGAAAAAAATAGATGAATTGAACTTCATCAAAATTATAAACTTCAGTGCATCAAGGGATACTATCAAGAAAACAAAAAGACAATCTATAGGATTGAAGAAAATATTTGCAAATCATATATCTAATAAGGGATTAATATCCAAAATATATAAAGAGCTCCTAGAACTCAACAACAACACAATAAACAACCCAATTCAAAATTGGCCCCATGGCTGAGTGGTTGGGTTCATGCGTTCTGCTTAGGTGGCCCAGGGCTTTGCTGGTTCAGATCCTGGGCATGGACCTGGCACCACTCATCAGGCCATGCTGGGGCAGTGTCCCACATAGCGGAACCAGAGGGACCTACAACTAGAGTGTGCAGCTGTATGCTGGGGGACTTCGGGGAGAAGAAAAAAATACAGGAAAAGACTGGCAACAGATGTTGGCTCAGGTGCCAATACTCAAAAAAAAAAAAAAAAGGGCAAAGAACTTGAATAGACGTTTTTCTAATGATCAGTGCATGAAAAAATCCTCAACATCATTAGTCACTAGGGAAATCACAATGAGATTCCACTTCATGTCCATTAGGGTAGCTATTATCAAAAAAAAAAAAAATGCGTTGGTGAAGATGTAAAGAAATTGGAATCTACACAATATATAAACAATAAATGATAAATCTATATGAATTTAGCAGTGTTACCATTAAGCAAAGTCGATCAAAAAGAGTTTGTTCCAATCCATTTTCATGAGCTGCATCAGAACCCTGAACAGTAGGAGGAAGCTGTTTGGGATCTCCAACAAGAATGAGCTTTTCACACTCAAACCTAAAGACAGAATTCCAAAAATTAATCTAAGCAATGAGAAAAGCATGCATTCACATCATTTATTGCACTATTTTCTAAAATCTATTTCAAAGAATTCGAATACCATGAAGTGTTCTGAGAACTAACAAGGCTTAGTAGTGCTAATAAGTGTATTAAAAGGCTTTGAACAGTTATGCAGTAAAGAATCCTTTACATAACTTTATTCTTTTCCACATAAAACCTATTAAGTGTCCCCCGCCCCTGCATGGAATTGGTATTTCACAGAACACACTTTGAGAAACAGTGATTTTTAGAATCAATAAACTTTTAGACTTGGAAGCTTTCTTAGGAGTCATTTGGCTTAAAGCCTTGCTTTAGAGATGAAGTAAATTAGGCTCTCAGGCTCAGTAAATTAGGCTAAATGTCTTTCTAAATAGAGGTGGGATATAATGGGAAAAAGTCAAAGTTTTATAGAAAAACCTATATCCAAATCTCAGCTCTGTTGTATTCCATGGACACAGCAAGTTTTCTAATCTCTCCGGGCTTCAGTATTTTTATTGGTAACCTGGAGGTAATACCACCCTGCATGGCTGTTGGAAGGATTTAATCAAGCATGCAATGTGTTTAGTATAGAGTAGGTGCTCCACAAGTGTCACGCCTCCACCCTTCGTGCAGGGCCTCACCCTTCCTCCACACTGGCTCCTGAGTAGGGTGACCAACTCATCCTGGTTTGCCCAGGACTGTCCCAGTTTAAACAGTGAAAGCCCCACGATGCAGGAAGCTTCCAACTCCTGGGGGAATCATGACCGTTGGTACCCTACTCCCTCATTAACTGGGACAGAGCAAGCACCAGAACTCAGGCCTACTGAGTCCAAGTCTCTTACTCTTTCCCCACCTTTAGGATTCCTCCGTAAGAGATACTTTAGAAGTACAAGGTTTCAATTGGCTGAGTCAGCTTAGAAGATTGCATGGTGTTCTCAATTTTAGTAGACAAATTTTCATTTTCAACTGAGTTTTCTTTATACACTCTATATCCTTTCATAATCTTAAATTATTTTCAGAACCTAAACACTGGAATTATATCAAGGTAAGGGAACTGAAGCACATTCTTCAGTAGAGTTAGATTCTCAAAACTATGACTAAAGAGGACCTTTAATCCAGTTGAGAAATCTGCAGGGTTCCAGTAGAATCCTAGCACTAGTGCTATCAAGGCTTTCAGGGTTATGTGATCCAAATATCTAAACCGTGATCTAACAAATTTTTTTTTTAATTTTTTTTTTTTGAGGAAGACTAGCCCTGAGTTAACATCTGCCAATCCTCCTATTTTTGCTGAGGAAGCCTGGCCCTGAGCTAACATCTGTGCCCATCTTCCTCTACTTTCTATGTGGGACGGCTACCACAGCATTGCTTGACAATCAGTGCCATGTCCGCATCCAGGATTCGAACCGGCAAACCCTGGGCCGCTGAAGCAGAACGTGCACACTTAACCGCTGCGTCACCCGGCTGGCCCCCTAACAAAATTTTGATACACTGAATCCCCCCCAAATTTCCCTCTGCATTCTATTAAAAAATAAGTTTAGTACTTGAATTGCTAAAAATTTTCACAAAAGTATGGTAAGAGTTTAAGCTGAGGAAATGTTTGAAATAATTGTGACATCTGAGTGCCCTTTGGAAAAGAATCTTTTAGGTTACCTTGCAATAGGCAGGAGAGAGGCCGGCTCAGTTATCTGACTACACTCATCCAGCACAACCACAGGAAATTTAAGCTCATTCATGCACGGGAACGGGCAGGCCGCACAGGTAGCTCCAACTACTCGAACCTTTATTACAAGAATGGTACTGATTAACAACCATTAAAAAAGGTAAGAGAATGTTTTTACCAAAGAACTTGCAGGCTAAAATCAGAAATGAGCTAGGCCTAATTAGTGACAATCAGAAATCATGGGTCACTTTATTTCCACATTTCATTACTCCCACATTAGAAATGGAAATCACAGAATATAGGCCACAAGCCCATTAATAAGAACAAATAAAAGGCACATTTTGATATTCGGAAGGAAAGTATTATATCAAGGATTTTTAAAACATTAAGGTAATGTACACATTTTATCCTTCTAGATGAGGCTGAATAAACACAACATGCATTGTTATCAACACAGGCCAGAGCTCTCCACAAGGAGCACTGAACACGCTAACGAACGGTCCTTTGCTTAAACTTCAAGCACACTAGTATTCTGACTTATTTAAGAAGATAAAGATGGCTAACTAATTCTGAACAACAGTAAGTTTAAGTGGACTTGTAGCCTGTAAGTATATTCGAATCTTCCAAGTCTCAAGGCAAAAGGCCTGATAAAAGCTAATATTTTATCTCTGGAACTAAACATAAATAAGAGGAAAATCGATGAATTTTCTAAGTGGATGTGGGCATCGGCCTAGCAGTCTACTGCACAGTCTACTAATGGTCTGTGCACACATCTACACACACACACACATACGTATGCTTTACAAATTAAATGCTGCCTCCACAGATCCTGTGAAACAAGAAAATATTCTAAACACATTATTTTCTTTAATAATAAATAATATTCATCACATATAAGACCTTTGTCAGGTTTCCCTTCTTTTGTTAAAAACAAAAACAAAAATCCTAATGCCATATTTATATTAGAAACTCCACAGTTTTTAAACATTCGGTTCTTCTAAAACGATCCAGGAAAGGACACCCTTGTAGCAATATACACTGCTCTTGGTACTACTCTCAAATACCATCCGCTATCTAATTTCTGGTAACTGTATCTGACAAAAACAACCTTAGAATGAGAACCCTAGAGTTATGAATCAGGAAGCAATTTTTTCACTTAAATATCTAATACGAAAACCTAAAGAACTAATAAGCTTTTTCTTTAAAAATAAGTTTCATTGTAAAGATATGTCACTTTAGCAATGTGTCAGGTCTAACCGGACCTTGGAAGTTTGTTAGAGAAAACCTGTAAAAAAAGTTTCCTCTAAGAGTTTTCATTTGTGAACAGGCAATACCAATGAGTAGCAGATTATGGTAACTCAGCTTTCACTTAGAAAGTTACCAAAGAAACCATTAATTCTTACATATCACTATTGTGTTGGATAAGTGAGTAAAATGGTAAATAGTTTACATAAATGACTAATTGGCATTAATTGAACACAGTCAAACCAAGCCCTTCTGGATTTGGTTGGGGAGAAGGGAGTAGAGTCAGTTACTCTGTAACTCAGATAATAGAAAGCTAGTCTGGAGCCTTCTAAGGACATGTTGCAGACTGGTTATATTTCCAATTTCCCCTTCCTCTCTGTGAGAGTGTGGCACATCCACACCCTCTGCCATGTGACTCTGCAGTGCTTCCCACCAGAGAAATAGGTGGAGTATATTTCCCTGTCCCCACGATGTTGGGCGTGGCCATATGACCTCTTATAGCCAATGGAGTGTTAGAGGACATGAGATGAACAGAAGCTCTAAATGCATTTGTGTGACCTAGCCTGCTCTCTTGCACTTCTGCCATCTATCAGGAGAAGGCCATCATGCCACAGGCAACTGTTCCAGAATGAGAGACCTGACCCATAGCCTTAAGCTGAGTCATGCCAACTGATCTGTAGAGTCCTAGGTTTGTTGTCTTAAAGTACTGAGATTTTATTTGTTAAGCAGCATTATTTCAGCAATAGCTGACCAATAGAGGGTCCCAAGCATGCTGATTTTCCTGAATCTCTTGCAGAAAATGACCAACGTCCACATGGTCCATGAAGCCAACAAGCTTCTTCCCCTCCATCCCTTTACTTTTCCCCATGCTCTCCTTTCATGGGAGGAAGCTACTAATTGGCTTCTTTTCCCCTACCAGCTGATGCCCAAGCTGCCCTGGATCAGAAGCTGATAAAGGGGATGATGCTACTTGTTATAGCCTGGGATCCTGTATGTCCAGTCTTGGCTCCTAATACAGAAGCAAGTGTCTGAGCCTCCTATATTCTTGGATATAGACAGACTTTGAAAGGCTTGGCTTTCTAGGAGCTCTCCTAAATTAAAGACAAATTTCACTTGGATATTTTGCCCAGGGTCAGACTTTCTCTTCCTCTATTTCTTCCAGAGAAAAAAAAGCCAAGTTTCATTTAATTTGCCAGGAATTGATTCCTACCTCTTCCCTTTCCTCTTTAAGCTTACTGAAAGATAATCAAACAGACAAAGGGAGAAAGGATGTGATTCAGTCATGGTGAGTTGGATTTGTTCACAAATTTAAAGAATGCTTTACAATAAAATAACAAGCACTGGATAGACATGCACATTAAATCTAAGCTATCATAGTCGTTTGTGGTAATTTAAAGGAAATATCCTCCATCAACACGACTAAAATAAATCTGAATAGCATATATAAATGATAAAGAAACCAACGGAAGCTGTTGCCCCTCACCTGCTTCAGGAGGGTTTTATTGGTTCCCAGTTTATGCTGCTCAATACTTTTCCTCACATAGACTTTTTCCACAGGAGTCAGGTCTTCTTTCATCAATGCATGTAGTTCTTTTAATTGCTCATTTTCATTTTCTGAGCCAGCATGCAAGCTAAAAACAGAATTATATAATTTATTCCATTTTTCATAATACCATAAAAAGTAAAACACAGATTTTCTAAGTCAACCAAAAAAAAGATAAGGCTTTCTTCACTCTTCTTCAAAAACCAATTTTAGGGTAAGAGTTACATAAAACTATTATACTTTTCTGAACATTCAGCAACTTCCAGAATTTAGCATTCTTACCTATAAGGTAAAATTGGCTTGGCAATCTTCCTAACACTTCCAACTCTGACAAACTTTTCAAATCCAAGACCGAGAAGCCTTTAAAGAACACAAGGTAAAACAGATTCTGATTATTTAGAAAGAAGAATATAAAGTAAGGTTTCATATAATATTTATGTTATGAAAATTAATTTCGTGTAACAGTATATTTTATAGTTATATAATTCAATGTAAAATGCCAAAACTCAAAGTAAATGGAATGTAGCTAAAAGACTTTTTTATATAATGCATTTTATAGAGAATTTTTAAATACATATTATCTTATGTTGAGGGCTCATTAAATGTTCATAAAATACTGATGTTACTATTTATCACTAATCAAATTGCCCCTAAAGACATATGAAAGCAATAGCTACCATACATTTAGCATCGAGATTTATTAGGAACAGTGTTAGCCTCTTTATGTGCACTATCTCGTTTAATATCATTACAGCTCTGCACTAAATCTCATCTTAAAGAGGACACTGAAACTCAGAAGTGAAGCCACACAGCCAGGAAGTGGAGTCAGCTGTGATTCAAATCTGGGCAAGTGTGTCTACCTGCAAAGGCTGTGACGGCTCTTCTACATGCCTTACCCCCACTCAGGGCCTGCTGATGCCGCAGCCCTCACCTGCCCTTCCCTCTTATGATCTTACAGCTCCAGCTCTGGGCGAGGAACAGAGCAGGAGCTCAGTGAACATCCAGTCTCTAAAACGTCTTCTCCCACCTCAAATGGGAATTAAAGAGCCAGAAAACTAAAGAAACTATGGCTCCCCAAACATAGTTTTCCTAAATAATTTTGAAGCAATTTGTTCAATGTCAATACATGAATAGGTTTCAATTTTTGCATTTTTCATAGTCCTCATCTTGGAGAATAGTCAGCTACTTTTTAGTCTGAAAACCTAGTTTACATTTTTCCCAATGCCAGTTTGTGTTAATTCTGTGATAATAAAGGGTGCAGTAGCCTCATTGTACTGCTACCATAGGGTAAAAAGTATGTTTCATTTCTTCTCAAGAAACTCTGTATCCTCTCCTGTCCATTACAATTGGAATACATGGTCCACATGCACAGGTAAACGTTACCTCAGTGTGAAGAAATATGTGGTCCAGCCTATACACAGTTGAGCTATATATGCTAATTACACATTCACATTACTCAAGTCCTTATCAGAGGTTTAAGCATTAAAGAATCTCTACTGAATGTTTTGTTGCCTTTTAACTTTCAGTGCTCACCTTCCGTCTTCATTCTACTTGATTTTTTCTTTTCTAATAGTCTACAGCTAAATTTTCATCTCAGGCTGAGCACTCTAAAGTTCTTGCCTGTCTAGTCTCCATGTCTCTTCATTGACTTGAATCAAAAAATGTCCTCAGCTGCTTTTTTAGATTACTCAGCAGAGTGCACCCTGGCAGAACCTTTCTGAAGGGCAATTTTGCAAAGCATATGAGGAAGCTTAAAAATGTTCATATCTTTTATACTAGGCCTAGGGCTTTTTCCCGAGGAAAGAATCAGAAAGAAAGACAAAGATTGATGTTTAAGGATCTTTGTCACAATATTATTTACAGTGGCAAAAATCTGGAAAGAGTACAAAAACAGGTGCAAAGATCAATGGAACAGAATTGAATGCCCAGAAATAAAACCACACATCTATAGACAGCTAATCTTCGACAAAGGAGCTGAGGGCATACAATGGAAAAAAGAAAGTCTTTTCAACAAATGGTGGTGGGAAAACTGGAAAGCCACATGTAAAAGAATGAAAATTGACCGTTCTTTTTCACCATTCACAAAAATAAACTCGAAATGGATCAAAGACCTAAAGGTAAGGCCTGAAACCATAAGGCTTCTAGAAGTAAATATAGGCAGTACTCTCTTTGACATCAGTATCAAAAGGATCTTTTCAGACACCACGTCTTCTCGGACAAGGGAAACAATAGAAAGAATAAACAAATGGGACTTCATCAGACTAAAGAGCTTCTTCAAGGCAAGGGAAAACAGGACTGAAACAAAAAAACAACCCACCAATTGGGAAAAAATATTTGCAAATCGTATATCCAACAAACGGTTAATCTCCATACTATATAAAGAATTCACACAACCCAACAACAAAAAAATCAAACAACCTGATCAAAACATGGTCAGGGGACATGAACAGACGTTTCTCCAAAGAAGATATACGGATGGCCAATAGGCACATGAAAAGCTGCTCATCATCACTGATCGTCAGGGAGATGCAAATCAAAACTACACTAAGATATCACCTTACACCCATTAGAATGGCAAAAATAACCAAAACAAAAAGTAACAAATGTTGGAGAGGGTGTGGAGAAAAAGGAACCCTCATACACAGCTGGTGGGAATGCAAACTGGTGCAGCCACTATGGAAAACAGTATGGAGGTTCCTCAAAAAGTTAAAAATAGAAATACCATATGACCCAGCCATCCCACTACTGGGTATCTATCCAAAGAACTTGAAATCAGCAATTCCAAAAGTCCCACGCACCCCTATGTTCATTGCAGCATTATTCACAATAGCCAAGACATGGAAGCAACCTAAGTGCCCATCAACTGATGATTGGATAAAGAAGATATGGTATATATATACAATGGAATACTACTCAGCCATAAAAAATCGTCCCATTCACAACAACATGGATGGACCTTGAGGGTATTATGTTAAGTGAAATAAGCCAGATAGAGAAAGACAATCTCTGTATGACTCCACTCAAAGGTGGAAGTTAAACATGTAGACAAAGAGAACAGGGGGCTGGCTGGGTGGTGCAGCAGCTAAGTTCGCATGTTCCCCTTCTTGGTGGCCCAGGGTTCACTGGTTTGGATCCTGGGTGCGGACATGGCACCGCTTGGCAAAAGCCATGCTGTGGTAGGCATCCCACATATAAAGTAGAGGAAGATGGGCATGGATGTCAGCTCAGGGCCAGTCTTCCTCACCAAAAAAGAGGAGGATTGGCAGTAGTTATCTCAGGGCTAATCTTCCTCAAGAAAAAAAAAAAAGAAGAAAAGCTGGGCAAGGGCCAAAAATGTGGAGACTAAACAACACACTACTGAATAGCCAATGGATCATTGAAGAAATTAAAGGAGAAATCAAAAATATTTGGAGACAAATGAGAATGAAAATACACCATACCAACTCATATGGGATGTAGTAAAAGTGGTCCTAAGAGGGAAATACATAGCAATACAGAACTAGCTTAACAAACAAGAAAAATCTCAAATAGGCAATCTTCAACTACACCTAACAGAATTAGAAAAAGAAGAGCAAACAAAGCCCAAAGTCAGCAGAAGGGAGATAATAAAAATTAGAGCAGAAATAAATGAAATTGAAATTTAAAAACAAAACAGTAGAAAGGATCAATGAAACAAAGAGCTGGTTCTTTCAGAAGATAAACAAGATTGACAAATCCTTAGCCAGACTCACTGAGAAAAAAAGAGAGAAGACTCAAATAAATAAAATTAGAAGTGAAAGAGGAGAAATTACAATGGATACCATAGAAATACAAAGGGTTATAAGAGAATACTATGAAAAACTATATGCCAACCAAGTGGACAATCTAGAAGAAATGGATAAATTCTTAGACTCATACAACCTCCCAAAACTGAACCAAGAAGAAATAGAGAATCTGAATAGACCAATCACAAGTAAAGAGATTGAAACACAAATCAAAAACCTCCCCGAAAATAAAAGTCCAGGACCAGATAGCTTCTCTGGAGAATTCTACCAAACATTCAAAGAAGATTTAATACCTATCCTTTTCAAACTACTCCAAAAAACTGAGGAAGACAGAACACTTCTGTCTTCTCATTCTACATGGCCAACATCACCCTGATGCCAAAGCCAGACAAGGACAACACAAAGAAGGAAAATTATAGGCCAATATCGCTGGTGAATATATTGGCAAACTAAATACAGCAATATACATCAAAAAGATCATATACCATGATCAAGTGGGATTGATACCAGGGACACAGGGATGGTTCAACATCCACAAATCAATCAATGTGATACACCGTTAACAAAATGAGGACTAAAAACCACATGATCATCTCAATAGAGGCAGAGAAAGCATTTGACAAGATCCAACATCCATTTATGATAAAAAAAAAACTCTCAATAAAATGGATATAGAAGGAAAGTACTTCAACATAATAAAGGCCATATATGATAAAACCACTGCCAACATCATAGTCAATGGGGAAAATCTGAAAGTCATCCTTCTGAGAACAGGAACAAGACAAGGGTGCCCACTCTCACCACTCTTATTCAACATAGTACTGGAGGTTTCAGCCAGAGCAATTAGGTAAGAAAAAGAAATAAAAGGAGTCTAAATAGGCAATTAAGAAGTGAAACTCTCGCTGTTTGCAGACAACATGATTTTAGACATAGAAAACCCTAAGGAATCCATCAGAAAACTACTAGAGATAATCAACAACTACAGCAAAGTTACAGGGTACAAAATCAACTTACAAAAATCAGTTGCATTTCTACACTCTAATAACAAACTAAGAGAAAGAGAACTCAAGAATACAATCACATTTACAACCACAACAAAAAGAATAAAATATCTAGGAGTAAATTTAATCAAGGAGGTGAAAGACCTATACAGTGAAAACTATAAGATATGATTGAAAGAAATCAATAATGACATAAAGAAATGGAAAGATATTCCATGCACATGGATTAGAAGAATAAATATATTTAAAATGTCCATACTACCTAAAGCAATCTACAAATTCAATGCAATCCCAATCAGAATTCCAATGATATTCTTCACAGAAATAGAACAAAGAATCCTAAAATTCATATGGGGCAACCAAAGACCCCGAATAGCTAAAGCAATCCTGAGAAAAAAGAACACAGCTGAAGGTGTCGCAATCCCTGACTTCAAAATATACTACAAAGCCATAGTAATCAAAACAGCATGATACTGGTACAAAAAACAGGCACACAGATCAGTGGAACAGAATTGCAAGCCCAGAAATAAAACCACACATCTACAGATAGCTAATCTTCGACAGAGGAGCTAAGAACATACAATGGAGAAAGCAAAGTCTCTTCAACAAATGGTGTTGGGAAAACTGGACAGCCACATGCAAAAGAATAAAGGTTATCTTTCGCCATACACAAAAATTAACTCAAAATGGATCAAAGACTTGAAGCTAAGACCTGAAGTCATAAAACTCCTAGAAGAAAATATAGGCAGTACACTCTTTGACACTGGTCTTAGAAGGATCTTCTCAAATACCACGTCTACTCAGACCAGGGAAACAAAAGAGAAAATAAACAAGTGGGACTTGACCAAACTAAAAAGCATCTGTGAGGCAAAGAAAACCAGGAACAAAACAAAAAGACACCAACTGGGAGAAAATACGTACAAATCATTTATCCAACAAGGGGTTAATCTCCAAACTATACAAAGAACTCACATAACTAAACAACAAAAAAACAAACACCCTGATCAAAAAATGGGCAGAGGATATGAACAGACATTTTTCCAAAGGAGATGTACAGATGGCCAAAAGGCACATGAAAAGATGTTCAACATCACTAATCATCAGGGAGATGCAAATCAAAACCACACTAAGATATCACCTTACACCCATCAGAATGACAAAAATATCTAAAACTAATAGTAACAAATGTTGGAGAGGTTATGGAGAAAAAGGAACTCTCATACACTGCTGGTGGGAATGCAAACTGGTGCAGCCACTATGGAAAACAGTATGGAGATTCCTCAAAAAATTAAAAATAGAACTACCATACAACCCAGCCATTCCACTACTGGGTATCTATCCAAAGAGCTTGAAGTCAGCAATTCCTAAAGTCCTACGCACCCCAATGTTTATTGCAGAATTATTTACAATAACCAAGACATGGAAGCAACCTAAGTGCCCATCAACAGATGAATGGATAAAGAAGATGTGGTACATATATACAATGGAATACTACTCAGCTGTAAAACAGAACAAAAGCATTCCATTTGCAATAACATGGATGGACCTTGAGGGAATTACGCTAAGTGAAATAAGCCAGTTAGAGAAGGACAATCTCTGTATGACTTCACTCATATGAGGAATTTAAAAATGCAGACAGAGAGAACAGATTGGTGGCTACAAGGGGAGAGGGGAAGTAGGGGGTGGGCACAGGGGGGAAGTGGTGCACCTGCAACACGACTGACAATCAATGTACAACTGAAATTTTACAAGTTTGTAACCTATCATTAACTCAAAAAAAAAAAAAAAAAACCTACACTAAGGGGCCAGCCCCATGGCCGAGTGGTTAAGTTTGTGCACTATGCTTCGTCGGCCCATGGTTTTACTGATTCAAATCCTGAGTGTAGACATGGCACCGCTCATCAAGCCACGTTGAGGCAGCATCCCACATGCCACAACTAGAAGGATCCACAACTAAAAATACACAACTATGTACTGGGGGGCTTTGGGGAGAAAAAAGGAAAAATAAAATCTTCAGGAAAAAACCCAAAAAACTACACTAACATATCACCTTACACCTGTTAGAATGGCTATAATCACCAAGACAAAAAATTACTAACGTTGGAGAGGATGTGGAGAAAAGGGAACCCTCATACACTGCTGGTGGGAATGCAAACTGGTGCAACTACTATGGAATACAGTATGGAGATTTCTCAAAAAATTAACAATAGAAATACCATATGATCCAGCTATCCCACTACTGGGTATTTATCCAAAGAAGTTGAAAACAACAATTCAAAGAGGTTTATGCACCCCTATGTTCACTGCAGCATTATTCACAATAGCCAAGACATGGAAGCAACCCAAGTACCCATCAACTCACGAATGGATAAAGAACATGTGGTGTATATATATCCAATGGAATACTACTCAGCCATAAAAAAAACCAAAATTGTCCCATTTGCAACAACATGGATGGACCTTCAGAGTATTATGTTAAGCGAAATAAGCCAGACAGAGAAAGACAAATACCATACGATTTCACTCAGATGTGGAAGATAAACTAACACATGGACAAAGAGAACAGTTTAGTGGTTACCAGAGGGGAAGGAATGGGCACAAGGAGTGAAGGGGCACATTTATATAGTGACTGACAAATAATGTACAACTGAAATTTCATAATGTTATAAACTATTATGACCTCAATAAAAAAAAATTGCTTAACAAAAGGCTAATCATTGCATATAATAGAGCTATGAAAAATTATGTTTTCTAAGATGATTTGATATAGAGAAATAATCTTTAAGTAAAAAAAGCAGGACACAAAACAATATATACTGTTGAATACCAAGTTTGAAAAACAAAATGTGTGTGTGTGTGTATATATATAAAAAATTTGTAAAGAAATATAATATTATCTGTATAGTCTGCATATTTTCTATCGTAAGTATTAACATATGTAATTATAAAAGTTAATTTTTAAAAAGCCACTTATAAGTAAAGGATTATTTCTCCTAATTAAACTTCATCATTTATGCTGAAATTCAGATCATTAAACACTGGAATATTGGTAAAATATTATGTAATAGTTCTTTGTATTTTTAATAAAATCTTACACAATCACAAAAATTGTATCCCTGCAAACAGATTGTGTTGCCTTCTTTAGATCCCTCTTATTGAAACCAAACACATAATTTAATTAAATTGTTCAGCTACTTTACCACTATATTTTCATACAGCAGGTGGACAAGAGAATGACCTACAATTTGGTTCTGCAATTTTAGCCTACTTCCAAGGCTCCTGGGTCAGCGACAGAGGACTTTAACTCATGGCACAGGAAGCAGCATAAGCATCAATATATCTGCATTGGTTTCTCTTGGTCCTCAAATCCTATGAGGAGAGGCAGAGGGTCCAGATGGATGCCTGCACATGTAGTGGGCTGAGCTATAGGAAAGGAACACTAAGCTTGGGGCTTAGTAAGCAAACCTGCTCTTTGTCCCAGAGGGAGACATGACCTTATCAGTCAAGGTTGCTTGTTGTAAACACAACCCTGAGAAATGTCTTGGGTAAGAGGACTCAAGGCCTTGCGTCTTTAGCATCCCGGTGGGTATGTCAGCATCCCAGGGCTTATTGCCTCCTCCAACAACACACCCTTCAGCTCTACATGTTCTTGGCTGAACTCAAATTTTTACATAAGTATCCCAACCTTGTGCCAAAATTGTCAGGTTTGGTATTTTATTTTATCCTACTTACAAACTAATAAGTTAGCCTATTACTGTTTCTGGATACCACCTCTTGAGTCAGAGACAAAGGCCATGCATTTTTGGCATACCCAGCAAAAGTGTGCATGGACACTCAGGGCCTATGGTGGATTGCCTTTCTCAACAATAACCTAAACATTAGCTACTTAAATACACTTGTCATACTTACCCAAGAAGTACTCTGTCAACAGCTACATTAGTGGAAGAAGAAATCAGAAGTTTCCATGGTCTTGCATTTCCAACTGTAGGAGCTTCACTCTTCTCAAATAGCTGTACAAAAAACAAAATCACCACTGCCAGCAAATAACTCTTTCCTGCTCCAAAAACACCTAATTAATTTGAAGGAGGAGAAAAAAATAAAGGCAATATCATAATTAAGTTTCTGAAAGCACAAGAAATATTTCATCTATCTCCCTCTCTTCTCCATTTATTTATTCAAAAAACATTAATTGAGTGGCCACTGTGTGCTCAGCACAAAGGATAAATAAATAAATAACCAAAAGACCTCCACATTTAATGAGACCCTAGGCTACTTAGGAAGATAGGCAAAGTAAAGGAACAATGATAAATAATATGTTAAATAACACCGTTACGGTGTCAGAGAAAGAACAGCTCTCCCTGCTTTGGTGGAGGTGGGAATGCTTCCTAAAGATAAGCAGCAGCAGAACTAAGTCTTCCAGAATAAGATAGCCAGTCTGCTCAAAGACAGGGTCCTTCTGGGCAGAGGCATGACAACGCACGAGGCCATTAAGTATTTCTACACAGCCTGTGGCGAATAGACAAGAGACGAGGTGACAAGGTAGACAAGGGGACAAATCACAAGAGCTCTGCTTGCTATGGCTAAAGAGTTGGAGTTTTGTCTTAAAGGCCAGGGGAAGTCACTGAAGGATTTTAAGCAATGGAATTGACTTAATCAGATTGTGTTTTAGAAAAATTCCTTGAGTGAAAACATGAAGAAAGGTAAAAGTAAAGGTAGATCAATTAGAAAGCTGTGTGAGATAATCCTAACAGTAAACATGCTAACTTCACTAAGCTCCTGCCCTGTGCCAGGCACTGTCCCAAGCCCTTCACCAACGTTAACTCACTTCATCCTCCAACCCTTCGAGACAGAGGCTATTATCAACCCATTTTACAGAGTAGGAAATTAAAGCTAAGAGATAAGCAACCTGCCCAAGATCATACAGCTAATGCATGATACAGCCAGGATAAAAATGCAGGATTCTAGCTCTAGAGCCCCCACTCTGCCCACTAGGCTAGATGGAGGTGCGATGAGGCTTGGATTAAGTGGCAGTGCAAGTGAACTGAGCAGAGAGAATCGATATGAAAGACAGGCAGACACTAGAAGGGAAACATCTCAGGGACTGATCTCATGGGGGGAGGTCAACAGTAAGAGAGTATGAGGAGGATTAAGCAAAAGTCACTTAGTCCAGGGAGAAAGAATAATCTAGGATGACACCCAGATGTCTAGATTGGTCAACAAGGTGGATGTGATGTAAATCCTCAAAATAGTACAAAAAGCAAGATCAGCTTTGGAGTGGAGGCGAGAGGAAATGAGCTGAAGAGGTGACAGAATCCAGACAGAGGCATTAGCTCTGAAGAGGACAAAGCAAAGCTCCTTCACTGGGAGAACCAAAAGGGCTAACAGAGGTCCAAACTTAGGCAAATCTGAGAAGGAGGGCAGCACATTGGAAGGAGCTGCTGTTATGAACTCCACTTCGTGTTCCAGAGGTAAGACCAATTTCAGAGAGTGGAGCAGGGGCAACGATGGGGTTATGAGAAGAAGGAAGGTTTGGAACAGCTGCTGTGAAGGATGGAAGAGCGAGCTGATAGGAAATACACGGCTTTGCTGGTCAGAGTTGAAGTCCACTCTAACAGAGCAACACGTAGACATCTAAATCAAGTCTGGGCACTTGGATACGAATGAGCAATGCGACTCACTCATCAGATACCCTACCCATTCTCCCATTTAGGGTGGACAGTTCTGCTCTCACCTAATGGTTTACCAAAACAGGTTCAGATTCAAAAAATCTATTTAGAGTTATTCTGGAATCTTGTTTGACTAGGAAATGACAAACAAGCCAACTGAGTTATAAAAGCTTATATAACAATGTATTTACTAGCCTGTTTCTTTCTTGCTTCTTACCATGTATGATGGTGATAGGGAGGGTAGGGGTTCGCAGTTCCTCCACTTCCATGCTTTCGTGTGAGGCCATCATGTGAGCTATCTGAATTAGAGCTGTAGCTTGGTCCTTGTTTAACTCGTGTGCCTGAATTAACTCACTAGCTAACTGCAACGTTGCTCCTAGGCTGAGGAGTTCAAACTTTGTGTTGATATTCGAAAAGGCCGGTGGGATAAATTTTCTCTTATTGACTCTCTTGTTGCTAACTGTAGTTGATGAAGACCTAGTAAAAAGGCAGTAAATAAAATCAAAGAAAAATGAGGGGCTTTTGAAAAAGGTGAGTAAACCTATTCATAACTTTGCTTCCACTTTTTAAGCATCACAGAAGATTTTTTCATGGGCGCAAATGGATATAAACCCCAATTTGGAGGAGGGTAGAAAGGAAGAGAACTAACATTTGTTGAATACCTACTATGCACTGGCACTATGCGAGCATTTTACATGGCATTTGATGTAATCTTCACAACAACACTAGGAAGTAGTTAATTATCTCAAATAAAGATGCAGAAACATTAAATTTTTTCCTAAAAAGCACACAGCTAATAAGTGGTGTACTGACTTTAAAGCCACGTTCTATTATATAAAACTGAGATAATTAATACAGCCTCTATTTCAGGTAAAACTGCAATAAATAAATTGGTTTTATTTCTATTTCTATACAGCCTGAATTCATTTGGAAGCAGATAAATAACATAATGGAATCATAAAGATATTTATTTTGGGGCCAGCCCTGTGGTGCAGTGGTTAAGTGTGCACGTTCTGCCTTGGTGGCCTGGGGTTCGCCAGTTCAGATCCTGGGTGCAGACATGGCACTGCTTGACAAGCCATGCTGTGGTAGGCATCCCACACATAAAGCAGAGGAAGATGGGCATGGATGTTAGCTCAGAGCCAGCCTTCCTCAGCAAAAAGAGGAGGATTGGTGGCACATGTTAGCTCAGGGCTAATCTTCCTCAAAAAGAAAGAAACTTTTTTTTACCTAGGACTTCATTATGTTGAGAAAAATGAAATACCACAAGACAGATCATAACATTCCAAACTAGAAACTAGACTTTTTCTATCATTTTAATGAATTTAATATGATATCACTACCAATTTTTAAAAAGGGGGCATAGTGCTTGAGAAATTAAAAATGAGATAAAGGTTATGTCAAGAGATAAAATCAGTATCAATATACATACTGAATTCAAGCTGCAAAATGATTCTTTTAAATGTTAAATAATTTGCAGCAGAAAAATACAGATGAATAGAAAAATAAAGTCAACACTCAAAAGATCCTTAAGAAATCACTCCTTGACAAAGGGAAAACATTTGCAATAACATTTATTAGTCTCAATCATAATAAATAAATGGATGGATGGATGGATGGAGTGATGGCAAACGATGCATATTTCCCTTTATCTTTTCATTTTTAACTAGTAATCCACAGTAATCTCATAATCTCTAAAAGATAATTAATGTTTTGGCAAAAATTTATGTAATACACTTTTGCTGCAATTTCATATTCACATTTAGTCACCATTTTGGAATACCAAAGACCTGGAGGTAAATAATGACTTACAGCGTTAACAGGCTCTGTGTTAGAGGCAGAGTAGCTGGATTAAAGTAGTCCTGGATGTTTTTCAAAGTGGTCAGCTCTGTGCTAGCGTTACAAACCAAGAGTGCATGAACCACCACTATAGAGAGGATGCAGAAAATGAACATTTAATGTAAGTAAAATGGACCGTTAAAAAAGACTAACGCAGTGTTCAGCTACTGAATGAATCGCATGACATAAAATAAACCCTCACGTACACACAGAGTTCCTTTATCCATTAAGCTACAATACTAACTGCTCTTTCATACTTCTTATATGGGTACCCACAAACTGTATAACTTAAATCAAGTTTGGACTTCCACACATCCGCTGATGAAGAAAAACAACTGTTGTGAGTTAGTGCGTGGTGTGCTGCTTGACAGGCAGCAGTTCCTTTATCAGCGTAGCACCTTGTGCTGTACAGTGGCACTTGTGTAGTTTTTGAGCATTTTCTTGCATTTTTTCCTCAATTACCTTATAGAAATATATGGAAAAGTTAGAATGCTGATGTTGGTCAGGAAACAAATGCAGCAAATATGAAAATATGCATGTGAAAAGTGACAAACATTCACTTAATTAGGCTCTTATTGGACTCAAGCTGGTTGATTAGGTTTATTCAGTTCTCAAAGAAAAAATCAAAAGTTAAAAATGTATATAAAATACTTGAAATAAGTCATTAAATGCTGTATCTTTAATTAGTTATGGACCAAATTCAACCATAAGAAATTATTCCAGAGACTGAAATGTATAGAGAAGTCTATGGATTCATAGAACTGCATAGGGATTCAGCTTATTAAAGCCTTCTTTACTAAAAGAAAAATAAAGCTGGTAGCCTATACTGTCTTATTAAGAATTTCTCAAGGGGCTGGCCCGGTGGCATAGTGGTTAAGTTTGCACACTCCACTTTGGCGGCCCAGGGTTCACAGGTTCAGATCCTGGGCACGGACCTGGCCCCCCATCAAACCATACTGTGGCACCATCCCACAAAAAATATAGAGGAAGATGGGCACAGATGTTAGCTCAGCGACAGTCTTCCTCAAGTAAAAAGTGGGAGATTGGCAACAGGGCCACTCTTCCTCCCCACTAAAAAACCAAAAGGATTTCTCAAGGCAGATGATAAACTACTCTCAAAATAAAAATCATACCCTCCTGCTCAACAACTTGCAAAATCTTTTGCAAAATCTACAAGATGTTCTCAATGTAAAAGTAAATGATTTGCTACTAAATGTACCCTATTAGAATAACAAACCAAGAGAATTCAATAAACCAAGAGAATCAAAATTTGATGTAGGAAATTACTTGAGAAATTCTTATTTATATGTTTAATGTTTACATTTTTAAAAATCAAGTATATATCGTGTAAAAGTTAACTTTAACAAAACTTTATCAAAAATATTAAGTGAGGGGTCAAGATTTGATTCTAGTGTTAGCCCTCTGGGACTTGAACTGCAGAAATGTTCATATATCCAACTTTCACACGCATTTTCAGGAACACATTGTATACAACAGTAGGAAGTAGAGGTGAATGTTTTCATTGGCTTTAATCAAACAATCCCACACAAAGTTAGCACTCTTGCTCACAGCCTACTTCATGTCTATCATTCTTTTTTAATATAAATTAACATGGCCATGGTAATACTTACTGTTAGTGGGCCAATTAGAGGGGAAGTAACCTTTCAAAGGTAGTAGCTCCACCTCATTGGCAGATGACGGTCCAAAGAAAGCACTGCATGCAATAAAAGTATCCAGTTCAAAGTCTAGGGTTTTTGAAACAACCCAGAGATCATCTGAAACCACAAACACTGTCAAAAGGACCCAGAACTATGCTGAATCCCAACCTACTATGGATTTCTTAGATGCTTACTCTTACATTATTTCTCAAAAAACAAAATTGGTTACTATCATCTACAAGATTCCATCCGAACTAATAACATTTCATTTCCTTGTTTTTAACTCTATTTGTTTTATGTTTTTAAAGTTAGTTTTATAATTATTTAAAAAAAAAACAATGTCAGGGCCGGCCCAATGGCATAGTGGTTAAGATCACACATTCTGCTTCGGCGGCCTGCGGTTCACGGGTTCAGATCCCAGGTGTGGACCTAGACACCGCTTATCAAGCCATGCCGTGGCAGCATCCCACATACGAAAAACAGAGGAAGATTGGCACAGATGTTAGCTCAGGGCCAATCTTCCTCACACACACCAAAAAAACAAACAAACAAAAAACCAATGTAAATAAAGCAAAGAAGACAAACTGTAACTCATCTTTCTCTTATAAAACAGTTTTATAGCTACATCAGACTTACCCAAGGTAGAATATTAGTCTAAAAAGATGCTCTGCCATATAATGGTTTCCATGCTCAAATAAAGTTGGCAATCATGGACAGAATACAAGTTCTCTTGTCTATGGCCATACCACCCTGAACTTGCCCAATCTCGTCTGGTCTCAGAAGCTAAGCAGGGTTTGGCCTGGTTAGCACTCGGATGGGAGAATACAAGTTCTCTAAATGGACATCTAATTGACTGACGCTTCAGATTAATGAGTGTTCTCCTTTCTTTCTGTATAACGGGCCTACCCATCTCCACAGTATAGTGAGCACTGACGGCTAGCAGGCTACTTCCAGAATACCTGTGCACTATTTCTACCACCAGTTGAATTTATACTTACAAAAAGTCAATTGTATTTATTCTAAAACTTATTTATACCACAGTTGTATTTGTTATTATAATTATATAACTTAACATGTATTATTTGAACCATATGAGTATGAAGAAAAAATCGTTTTAAGAAAACTCAAGTGAATAATTTAGAAAGACTAAATTAAGATTTGCTAAAAGAAAAAACAAAAAAGAAAAACCACCACCACAAAACCTGCTAGGACCTAGAGTTTATATGTAACCAAACTATCATTCAAATATGAATATATAATAAAAATATTCTCAGACATTGAAGGCTTCGGGAGGTTTACTATACAAAGACCTACATTCCAAACAGTTTTTGATGAAATACATAAACAAGAGAGAAAAATCCAGGAGCTGCTAAAAGAAATACATGAAATAAAGGTAATTAAATACTTTGCACATATTTGTAGTCATCTTTTAAAAAGTAGTTGCATCCAAAAAAATGATAGAAAATAAATCCATACTAACCCAAAATTTACATTTTAGAATTGTGCTACTTAAAGCAGCCTGCCCTGAACAGTTTGTTAGTGGTCTGCAACCAGAAGCTCATGCTAGAATGTAATTCAACAAATCATAATGCCTCCTTCATTCAAGAGTCTTGCTGCAAACAAAACAAAAGAAAACAAAGCAAAACACAACTGAACAGTCTGCTTAGCGACACAAACGCTTTGCATTTAGGGAGCAGCTCCTCACCTCCTTCTGGGAACCAGTACCAGTTTGTGGACCAGACCAGCCTGCAGACCACCTTTGAGAAGCACTAGTCTAGATAACATCAACGTGCTGGGGGTGGGGAGAGTGAAGGAAGAGGTCAAAGGGGGAAAACAAGCCATGTGAGTACTTTCTAAGTTCTTGTCTTATTGCAGGGTAAGATTTAACTAACAATTTTTTTAAAAAACGAAAGGATTAAAAAGAGCATAGATAAAGTGGGATAAACAGAAATAACTTAAGATCGTAGAAAAATACCCAAGTATATCTATTATTATAATAAATTTAACTATTGGACTTATTCCATTTGTCAGTCAAATTTTTAAAATTCAGACATAAGCTGTTTATAAGGGACACACCTATAATACAAGATACACACAAAGCTGGAATGAAAAGATTGGAAGACTTATTGAGCAAACACTAGTCAAAACAAACCTCACAGAGCTATATTAATAACTAGATTTTAAGAAAAGACTATTATAAGAGATGGAGAGTCTCTAAATAATGATAAAAGTTTCAAGAAGCTAATAGCAATTTAAAATATATATGCACCTAATAAAATAACCTCAATATATAAGATCCAAAAAGTAATAAAATAGCAGGGAGAAAGCATACCATGGATGAAGCTACAGTAATTAAAACAGTGTAGAACTGGCACAATGATAAACAAACTGAACAACAATATAAAATTAATGACTCCAGAAACAGACCTATACTATTTTGAACTTGGTTATATGACAGAGGTAGAATTTCAATTCAAGAGGGAAAGAGAGATTAATCAATAAAAAATTATTATTCTAGCAAAACTGTTAATTAAAGAGAAAAAGATGAAATTGGGTCCATATCTCATACCATGTACAAAAAAACTCCAAAGGGATTGAAGATTTTCTCATGTACTATGCCATTACGAAAACCTTAAAAAACTCTAAAGAAGTAAAAAAAAATGTAAAAAACAAAACTTTATGACAATTAGTAGAAAATATAGGTGAATAATTTTAGACCTTAGCATAGGGAAAGATTTTTAAAATAAGACACAAAAAGCAATATAAAAAGAAAAAAAGACTAATAAATCTGACTATATTAAAAAATAATTCTTGTTTATCTAAAGATACCTTAAAGTAAGTGAAAGACATGATACAAACTGGGAGCAGACAGTCAAAATACATATGATCAACAAACAATTAACATGAAGAATATACAAGAACTATAAATAAGATCACAAACAACACAACAGTAAAATGGGTAAGAAGGAGTACATAGCTAACAAACACATGAAGCGCTGTTTAACATCACTGGTGAGCACAGAATTGCAAACTAAAACCACCATGAGACCCTTCACACGCATTTGAGTAGGCGGAGCCACATGACAGCAGGAGTACACACTGATGTAACCGCTGTAGAAAGCAGTTTGGCACTACAGCCTAAATCTGTATGGGGCATTTTCCCAGCCTGTAACACAGCATTTTCATTCCTAGGATTATATCTGAAAGAAACTCTTGCACATCTACAAGAGAGTATAAGAAGATTCAGAGCATACTGTTCCCAATGGCAAAATGCGGAAACCAAAATGACCATCAATGGAAGAGTGAATGAATGAACTGTGGCATATTCACAAAATAAAGTGTTAGACAGAAATCCAAACAAGTAATCTAGACTCTAGGTTTTAGACCAACATCAATAATACGTATATATTGCAGCAATATACTATTAAGTGAAAAAGATAAATTCCAAAAGATTACATCTAGAATTATATCATTTTAGTAACGTTAAAAAATAACTAAAAACAACATGACTAACAATAATGTACAACTGAAATTTCACAGGGTTGTAAACTATCATAATCTTAATAAAAAGAAAAAAAAGGGTGATTACACACATGTGTGTGGTGATAGATTGTAATTAGTCTTTGGGGGGGTGAACACGATGTAATCTACACAGAATTTGAAATATATTACGATGTACACCTGAAAGTTATATAATGTTATAATCCAATGTTACTGCAATAAAAATTTTTAAAAATTAAAGAAAGAAAGAAAGAAATAACTAAAAACTGGGGCCGGCCTCGTGGCATGGTGGTTAAGTTCACGTACTCCGCTTCGGTGGCCTGGGGTTCAAAGGTTCGGACCCTGGTCACAGACCTACACACCACTTATCAAGCCATGCTGTGGAGGCATCCCACACACAAAATAGAGGAAGACTGGCACAGATGTTAGCTCAGGGACAGTCTTCCTCAAGCAAAAAGAGGAGGCTTGGCAGCAGATGTTAGCTCAGGGCCAATCTTCCTCACAAAAAACCAAAAAACCTAAAAACTTAAAATTTGAAACACGATCTTGGAAATTCATTTATATACACCTCTATACAAAGGAAAGCAAGATGTTAATGAACACAGGGATCAAAATGCTAACTACCTTACGTTAGGAGAGACCATCAGTGGGGTTACTTTATATTAAATTCAGGCAGCTATAAAGGTACTGAATTTTGCCTTGGTTTGTGGACTCACACTTATATCATTTAAAATAACTAATTAAATAACTAAAGCAAACTAGGTAAAGATCAATGGCAAGAGTAGGTCATGAAACCAGAGATAATGATTAACCTAAATTAGTGTACTTAAGGTCCTTGGAAAAAGAATTTTTTAAGGATTTTACTTTCAAACATACAAAATTTGGGGTCCAGTGTCATCAAAGTGTGCAGACAATGACAGCAGTTATCAATAAACTCATTACATCTTCAGTTTATTTTTGATATTGGTCAAAGTACAGTTGAATCAATATACTGATTTATATGATGCCAAGAACTTACTGTGACTTTTTAAATAAAATTAAAGTTTTTGGTAGCCTTTAGTAAAGTTTCTTAAGAAGATAAAATTTTAAAATGTGCTTTTTACAAATAGTCTAATTAATTATACAGTAATTAACAATATATACTATTAAACCGTACTTTAAAAAAATCTCTTCAATAGAAAGAATTTACAGAGCTGTATATAACTGAGATACAAGGCTAGACTCAGTCAACAACATGATCAGATCAACTTACCTTTGCTATAAGTTGAAGAAATTTCCTTCCGACTCAGCTTAAGATAGAGTTTGCTTTTAGATTCACTATAAAATTCAGGATTTACAGTAGAAAACTTCTTTAGTTTGCCATACCGTTTTCTTTGAAAATCAAATCCCTTTCTGCAAAATGAATAAAAAACAAAAATAACTTTGAATATTAAGATACAAACTTTTTTATTGAGATATAATTGACATATAACATTGTTTCCTGTGTACAACATTATGATTCGATATATGTATACATTGTGAAGTGATCACCACAATAAGTCTAGTTAACATCCATCACCACACAGTTACAAATTTTTTTTCTTATGATAATAACTTTTAAGATCTACTCTCTTAGCAACTTTCGATACACAACACAGTATTACTAACTATAGCCACCATGCTCCACATTACATCCCTATGACTTATTTATTTTATAATGGAAGTTTGAAGGTACAAATTTTTTTTTAAATTTTAAAATACAGCACAAAAAGAAAAACAGGGTGTATGTTATATAATTTCATACATGTATACAAAATAAAGATGTACTGTGTCAAAGGAAGAAAACAGCAACCCTGATATAATGATCATTAGTTTTAAAAAAGATAGAGACAGGAAAGTATCTAAAAGATAGAGTACCTCAGTTTCTATAATTGTAAAATTGGAATAATAAATTATCCCTATTATTTCCATATCTTATAGATTATGAAGATGAACTGAAAAAATAAATATAAAGTGCTTGGAAGAGTCCCTGGCATATACAAGCTCCTAATAAATGTTGTTATTATTAAATTAGCATGCAAATGCTCATTATATTTACTCTTTTGGGTAATCCCACTTTTATAAGACATATTTCCAAATAGCAGCATTCTATTATCCTATAAACTGTGTAGTTCAGGCTTGTGAAGGACAACTACCTATTATCCTGCACTGATTAAAAACTATTCTTGTGGTTTGTTCAATAGGGTTTCACTTAGGATTGTGGCTATATACAAAAATTGTTAGAAAAATAGTATTCCTGCCAGTTACCCTGACATTGCTGACACTTCTTGATGTTTAGAGGGGGCCAAAAACAGCTCTAGGGGATTATTCCCATTTTAGAATTATAAAAACAGAGGTACTCTATCTTTGAGATACTTTTCCTATCTCAATCTCTTTTAAAACTGATGATAATTCTGTGAGGTTACTATTTTCTGATATAATTAGAGGCAATTATTTGGTACCATACAACATACCTCACCAAAAGCTGGCATTCCTCATAGAGGGGTATCTTTTGACTTCTTAAGTACAAGCCAATACTCTTTATATCAGTTAAAACCACGCTAGGTAGAGATTCTTCCTGTGTTAAATATCCTGGGGTCACTTCTTCAAGCCACTTGAAAAATTTACATCGGTCAGCTTTGGCTCCATCACAGGTATAAAAGAGGCGACCCTAAGGGGAAAAAGATAGAAAAATTTAGTAAGAAAAATAATGTTTTTATTTTTTACTGTTTTTATATTATGTATGTCAAGACGTTTATAAAGGCTGCTTGGCATTAATGTACTCCAATAGATTAGTCACTACACAACTTAATCTTCTTAATTAATTTAAACAATAAATTAAAATTTAAAACCACCTTCTTTTCCACTTATTTTCTCTTTATCAAAAAATTACATTATTCTGAGAATATAAGCTTATTTGAAAAATAAAATTCACTGTTTTTCTGATTTAAAATGTTCACTATAGACAACTGAAAGCTGCCCAGAAACAACCAGCAGGAACACCTTTTCCATTTCTTTCCAGCCTTTTCTCTCATTCACACAAGTGTGCATGAGCACACACATGAGGATACACACAAGTATAGTTTTTTTACAACAAAACTCAGATAACAACACATTTTCTACTCTATAACCTAACCCTTATACCCGACAACATACTATGAGTATGACAACCAAGTCATCAAATAATCTTAAAAAGAAAAGAAGACTTAGTGACTCTATAATATTTGATTCTATGATTATATCATTTATGAATTCTCGCTTTTGACAATTAAATTTAAATCCAAATTTACATACTCAACTAATGATGATGTAGAATGCTGCAAACAATGGAAGAAAATTCTATTATTATGAATGAACGTACAGTCTTACAAATCAGTACAAACCATCGATCAATATATATTTTACTAACTTGACTTCTCAGCAATAAAAATTAAATCAGCATCCTTTTCTATTCCCCTGGCCTTATCTGTTACTGGTACTGGGGATCACACAGTAGAGTAGTTTCAACCTTCACTTCCTTCAGGCTCATCTCTGCATTCTCTAAGCCCTCAGGCTGGGATATGATCCTTTCTCAGTGTTCTCACTGTGACTTGGGAATATCCCTCCTACTTTATCCATTACAGTATTATATAAAAGTTCCTTTAGTGTATCTCTCTCCATCTACTACTACACAATAAGTTCCTAAGCAACATGAAGGTTAATCATTTTTCTATCTTCAAACACAGATCATCTTTCAATAACAATTTATTGAGAGTTTACTATACGTCAGCTACTAACTGCTCAAGTAGAAGGCTCCTAATCAAGACTCACTCTTTAACTAAGCTTGTCATCAAGCAATAGGTACCTAACTTTTCATAAGACAAGTATTTGCTGGGGCAACGAGAGGGGAAGAGGAAACAATACCTTATTTGGACCTTCCTTTTTAACCATGACAAGTTTTGCAGGTTGATGATGGTGGCAGGATGGCACATTATTTTCCACATTTTTCAGTTTCTCTCTTTTTGATGATGTGTAAAATGATATGTCAACTTTTGAAAGAGCTTTGTGCAACCTTTGTGCTAATCCAAACAGCAATATATTTAGATGTTCTATAAAAAAGAGAAAGATAGATACAGATGAAAATTAAATACAAAATAATTCTGTTTGTATCACATATGTGCTGTTTGTTAGCTAAATTTGAAAACCTTTTAACAGAGTAAACCACAACCTAATAAAAATATCCATTTTTAAAAGGAAGTTTTGCCCTTGTGCAATAAAACAAACCATCAAAACTAATTATGCACCATACTTAAAATTTCCTACTTAACTTAACAAAACCATTTGTAACACTTACAGCTTAAAAAAAATGAAAAACTATAACTTGAAAAAGATAATACTATCATTTCCCACTTTTAAAACTCAATTTTGATCCGAAACTAGAATATAACTTACTGTCAAAAACTGGAGCAAACACAAGGAAAAGAACAAATCTCAAGTAGATAATTTAATATGAAAATTCACAATATAAGATATTACACTTTCTCACAGCAATACTACTTATATTAGGCAGCGATCAACCATAATAAAATGAAAAGATAACAGTCATACCTATGAGACAAGATGAAAAAATCTGTTTGTAATGAGCAGATGACTGAAAAACAGCTGGTATGTGAATCTGCCGTTGGGGAAGATAAGCAGATTTTATTTTCTGCCCACTTGGGAAGCATAGCTCAGAGCTATTTATTTCCTGAAATGGAATAATTCAAGTCATTATAATAACTCCAGAAAAATACTGTTTACTAATGAGTGAATTATTTTCTATACACATGTTTAAGAAAATAAACTTTCCTTTCGATTTCCAGAATCCTTGAAAATCATTTTCTAACTTTAAGTGAGAAACCAAATAGGGCAAGAATGACTCTGCATGGCACTATTAATCATAAATAAGACTGACTTTTCTTTGTTTTTTAAAGATTGGCACCTGAGCTAACAACTGTTGCCAATCTTCTTTTTTTTTTTTCTGCTTTTTCTCCCCAAATCCTCCCAGTACATAGTTGTATATTCTAGTTGTGGGTCTTTCTGGTTGTGCTATGTGGGACGCTGCCTCAGCGTGGCCTGACAAGCAGTGCCACGGCCGCACCCAGGATGTGAACCGGCGAAACCCTGGGCCGCCAAAGCGGAGTGCTCGAACTTAACCGCTCAGCCACGTGGCGGCCCCCTAGACTGACTTTTCCTGTGTGCCACTCAATTAGTTGTTAAATACTTTTTGCTAGGAAAAACTTAACTCATATGAATGGATCTCTATTTCTGGTTACAACTATAATAAGAATTGTTCACAACCAATATGTAGTAAGATGTACCTTTACCCAAATAATGATCTGATCAGCAAAACAGAGCCAACAGTGAAGAATGGAAACAATTACAGAATTGTAGTAGTGGAAGTGGTGGTGGACACAGTCAGAGCTGTAATTTATTAAATACCTATTGAGTGCCAGAGACTGCACCAGACACCCTCACTCAAATACGTAATTTCACTTAATCTTCACAACTACTAGGAAAGATTTTAAGTTAAAGAAGATGTGACTGTAGCTTGATTTTGGTAATGCTCTTGCTGAAATTCTGACAATAACTATTGGAAACAACGCACTGAGACATTGGTACCTTTTCTCACCTGTAAATCTCCTGTTTCACTATAGATGGAGCAGGCAGACTTTCCTAACACACTTTGAATTTCCTCAGTCTTAAAAATCTGCTTTAAATTCAGAGAAAGTGCTTCCCTTCTGGAAGCCAAATCCTGGTTGCTAGACTCCTGCTGCTGTTGGTGAAGCACGCCTCTCATCATTTGCAGATGCACGGGGCCTACAGAGCGCCCACTCACAGCACCACCCTGTCTCTCACCCGCGTCACTAAAGCGCATCCCGGGAACAGCCACAGCAAAGAAGCCATCTGTCACTTTCTTATCAAGTCTACTTGGAGTAGTCAAGCTGCCTTGGGGTACATTCTGATATTTCAGCCACTTGCTTTGAGTATTTATATTATCGAGAAGTGAAACATCCCCTGGAGTCACTTCCCTAGATTTTTTAGAGGAGGAAGTTTCACTGTGGTCCTCAGGCCCAAGGCTAAAAGAAAGAACCGCTGACGCGTGACACAGGTTGAACATGAGGGAACCAGAAGACTCTCGCCTGTCACCGTCGATCCCATGTGAACAAGAATCTAAGTCAAGTTGCCCATCAGCAGGTGGCAAGGTAACAAGTGGAACTCGGGTTCTACTTACTAAAGGCAGCCTTTGAAGGTTCTCATTCTCCAGAGAACTGGATTTTCTCATTACTGGAAAAAAAAAAAAAGGTGATCACCCAGGCTCTAGAAAACAGTGGCTATCTATACAAAAATGCAAAAAGTACCAACTTGCCTTGCAAAAAAAAGCAAACAAAATTTTATTTCCTTTTTTAAAACAAACAAAAAATTTACTAGTTTTAGTCTCAAAAAAATAAAGATTACAAAGCTTTAATTAATACACTCTGACACTTTTTTAAAGTTGACGAATTTGAAATTCTCTTTTCTTCTCCCCCTTAGCTAAGGATTTCCTGCCCCACCCCGCCCCCCCAATTACTACATTATATTTACATAACACTTAAGTTCTCAAAGTACTTTACAGCCAAAACGGGATTCATCTTTCTCATTTTACAGATGAGATTACCAAGGCCTAGAGGTAACAGGACCAGCAATTAGCAGAGTCAGGACGAGAACCCAAAACTAGCTTTTTCTTCTCAACTTTATATTCCCTCCCCAGAGACTGAAGTTCATGGTTCATTTACTTGACCATGTGATTGTAACTTCCTCTATATATTTATTACACTCATGAATTAATATGTTGACCTTCAGAGTAAAAATGATTTTTAGCTTTATTTTGATCTATTTCAAATTGACTTAATTTTGATCTATTTGATTTATTTTGGTATGTGAGAAGAATTCAATTCTGGTAAACATCTTATGGCAGATTTTGGCTGAGTTTTATAATTCCTTCTATCTGTCAGCTGCGTTAGTAATAGATATATTCTTAAAAATGCAAAAGCAATAATATTTGTTGAATAAATGAATGAATAACATCGCATGGGAACAATATAAGCTTAAAATTTTTATCTGACAATGCTACGGTTCCCTATTTTATAATAATGTACCCTCTGGACAGAGTTTCTATTTTGTTGGAAATAAACTCTGGAGACCACCAGGGAAGGCAGCAGAGCAGTAGGTAAGCCAATGGTATTCTTTTATAAAGTCTTAGGTCGTAATTCTAACAAGTCAATCAAGCAACACTGACAGAAAATTAAAACCTGGTTCCAAAATATTTTTAGTAACAATCTCTCAAATAAAAAACTTCATTTTACGCAGACAGACAGATATTAGAGCAATATGGTAACAACTGCCTAAGTTGAGAGAGTGAAGATCACCAGGTGAAGTTCTTGCTTTCAGGGACTCCTCAGAGAATTTTGGCATGACGTCTTCATCTCTTGAGTTCAAAGAAAAAGTAGAAACAGGACTTGATGTTGAGATCTTTTGTTCTGGTGATGTCACCTATCCAGAAAGAAGAAACAAAGCTATAGATCAGAATCTTCTTAGTGCATTTTCTCCCTCACTTTGAATGAATTCTAGTAATCTATATTGTAAAAACAATGCTTTCAAGCAGATTACGTAGAGCTATAGTGGGGCAAAGATTCTTCCAAAAGGCACAGGATAGAATAAACTCATTTAAATATTTTTTTAAATTTTTTTTTTGAGGAAGATTAGCCCTGAGCTAACATCTGCTGCCAATCCTCCTCGTTTTTTGCTGAGGAAGCCTGGCCCTGAGCTAACATCCGTGCCCATCTTTCTCTACTTTATAGGTGGGATGCCTACAACAGCATGGCTTGACAAGCGATGCCATGTCCGCACCCGGGATCCGAATCAGCAAACCCTGGGCCACCGGAGTGGAACCTGTGAACTTAACCGCTGTGCTACTGGGCCAGCCCCCAGAATAAACCATTTAAATCAATAATAATAGAAAGTGAAATGCAGAACACAAAGCCTGTTGGATTTATTTGAAATGGGCCACATTCTGATTTGGATTGATCTGGGTTATGGGGATGTGGTCCTGAAGATCAATTTCCAGTCTAAGGGGCTCGGGCTAAATGAGACCTCACATTTAGAAGCTGTGAAGGTAAAACTTCCTGCAGACCCAAGGACTGAACAACTCTCTCTTATGTCCTCAGGTCTAGGGTTTATCTATAGTTGACCTAAACTTCAAGACATTGCTCCCAAATGCAATGAACTTTTTTGATATATTCCAGACCTGACCAGTCATATTATTCACTATGTTATTCTCCTTAGAATAGTACTTAATTTTGTTGCTGCTTCTAGAAATTAATCACCTTAAAAATCTAATATGATGATCACATTTAATACACATATTTGGATGAGAATAGAATAAAAGAATTCAAGTTTGGAAGAATACACACCAAACTGTCAAGAGTGGTTTCTAATGGGGGTGGGATACGGGGGAAAGGTTTTTTTTTTTTTATTTTTTTTATTTTTTTTATTTTTAAAGATTTTTATTTTTCCCTTTTTCTCCCCAAAGCCCCCTGGTACATAGTTGTGTATTCTTCGTTGCGGGTTCTTCTAGCTGTGGCATGTGGGACGCTGCCTCAGCGTGGTCTGATGAGCAGTGCCATGTCCGCGCCCAGGATTCGAACCAACGAAACACTGGGCCGCCTGCAGCGGAGCGCGCGAACTTAACCACTCGGCCACGGGGCCAGCCCCCGGGGGAAAGGTTTTTACGTGTAACGTCGTACTCTTCTGAATGGTTTGAACTTAAGACGTGTTTGTGTATTTTTTTTTGAGTAAGTCACAATACAGATAAAAAGTTTATATATAAATTTTAAAACATTTTCTTGACTAGCCACTTGGTTCCAGGTGCTGTGCTAGGAGCTAAGGATGAGACGATGAATACCCATGGTCCCTGCACTCAAGGAATTCAGTCTAGTAGAAGAAACGACGAAACAAATGGGAAATTACAATTCAATCATCACGTAATAATAGTTTTGCTCTATTATCGATTCTTACTGTGTGCCCAGGACTCTTCCAAGAACTTTCTATTTTTTAACTAATTCGATCCTTACCACAACCATATGAGGTGGTACTCTCATTTTCATTTTACAAGTGAGGGAACTGAGAAACAGAGCAGTTAAGCAATTAAATTTTTTAAATCCATCCAGCTTATAAGCATCAGAGTTGGGATTCAAACCTAGGCAGTCTAGACTGTATTGCCCCGTCAATAAAAATAACAACAGGCAATCGTTATTGAGTGTTACACCCTCTCCGCACAGCACAGTCTCTACAAACCTGCCAGAGTACTCTCTCAATGTAAACTCCATCATTTCCCTCCTCTCTTTACAACTCCAATGGTTCCCAGTCTCTCCCAGAGAACTAGAAGGCTCCTACCATGTCCCTGGAGCCACCCTGCAAGATCAGGCCCCTCACTTCCTCTCTGCCCTCACTTCTCACCTCTCCCTTCACTCCTTCACTCACTCCATGGCAACCTCCAGGCTGTTCTACAAACTGGCCAGCATTCTCCTACCTCAAAACCTTTGCACTTGCTGTGCCCTGGGCCTGGAATGCTCTTCCTCCAGATATCTGTATGGCTCTCTCTCGCTTCATTCAGTTCTCTACTCCAACGTCATGCTACCAGAGAGGGCTTACTTTACATGTACAAACTAGAACTCCACACCCATCTGCACCCTCTACCCCCACACAGCTGCAGGTTCTCCACAGCACTCACAACCCTCTGAGGCACTATATGCTGACTTGTTCACTGTCTGTCTCCTTTCACTAGAATGTAAGTTCCACAAGGGCAAGTCCTCGCCTGCTCATTCACAGGCCAACCTCTAGCACCAAGAACAGTGCAGCCCATGGTAGTAGCTTAAAAAATATTTAATAAATGAGTGACTAACAGACTGACTAAATACGCTAATCTTTCTAGGGAGTTTTCCACACACACTGACTCCACTTTCTTACCTCTCACTCACTACTTAATACACCCTAAACCAGTTTCTACCCTCACTGTTTCATTGATACTGCTCTTGACAAGGTCACGAACGACCTCCAAATCGCCAGATGGCCATGTTTCAGTCTCATTTTATTGGATGTCTCCACAATAACTGACATAACTTACCCTCTCCCCTTCCCAATTCTTGAGGATGGTATATAACACACTCCTCTCCCACACTTTCTTTAAATCCATTTTCAGAGCTGTAAATTTTACTACGTGCCAGTGACTATACACACGTCTCCTCTGAACCAGACCCATGTACCCAGCTTCTTACTTAACATCTCTCCTTCACTGTCTCACAGGCACTCCTTCTCTGTTCCTATATACTCACCAAACCTGTTCCTCCCTGCTGTGGTCTGAATTGTGTCCCCCTAAAATTCATATGTTGAGCCCTAACACCGAGTGTGACTGAATTTGGAGGCAGGGCCTTTAAGAGGTAATAAAGACTAAATGAGGTCCTAAGACTGGGGCCCTGATCTGACAGAATTAGTGTCCTTATAAGATGAGAGGTCTCTCTCTCTTTTTCTCCATGTGAACACACCCAGCAAAGGCCATGTGAGGACATAGTGAGAAGGCAGCCATCTGCAAGCCAGGAAGAGTCCTCACCAGAAACCAAATTGGCCAGAACCTTGATCTTGGACTTCTAGCCTCCAGAATTGTGACAAAATAAATTTGTTGGGTCAGCACCTATCCTATGGGATTTTCCTATGGCAACCCTAGTAGACTAACATTCCATCCTACTCCACTCAGTGCAAACCACCTCAGGCCACACAACGGTTAAGTTCGAAAGCCAGGAGTCTTTTTCCTCCCTGTCCTTCACCCCACTCTCTCTACACCCAATCCAGCAACATCCATGCTGCTACCTCCCAAATTTATCTGAAACTTATTTATCAACTCCGCTGCACTTTCACTGCACGGTCCCTACTTCAAGTCACTACCATCTGAGGCTCCTCTTAACTGGTTTCCCCGCTTCTGCGGCAGTGCCCATCCCATTGAATCCATCCTCCACACAGCAGCCAGCAAAACCTTTTACAAATGTAAATTAAGTCAGGTGACTTCCTGCTGAAAACCCTTCAGTCACTTCCCAGTGAAACAGAGAACAACATCAAAGCTCTTCACCCGACCTGCAGGACTCTTCTGTCTGGTCCCGCTCACTTTTCCATCTCATTTAATTGCCACTTTCCGTGTCACTCATCACTAGCTGGCTGCTCTGGCCTTCTTTCACGTTCTCACCCAACCCTTTCCAATCTTAGGGTATTTACACTTGTTTCTCTGCATGTTATGTTCTTCCCTCACTGCTGCCATAGCTGCAGGAACCTTCCTAATCACCCACAAGGCAGATTTCCCCTGTGATTTCAGAGTACTTTCACAGCTTTCCTACAGTGCAATTTCTTCTCTTGATAAATATCTCTCTCCCCCTGCTGGCCTTAAAAGGCAGAGATCATACCTGTTTTGTCCATCACTCTGCACCCAAGTCTCACAAGTTCCTGACCTATAGAAGGCATTCAATAAGTACTGTTGAATTCCTATTTACTCGTGAATTTTATATTTCACAGTAAAATTTCATTGTCTATTTCACACACGTTCCACACATTTCTCATTAAGAGTATATCTTGGTATTGCATATCATTTGTTACTATTGCTGGGACTCTTTTTCTATTATATTTTCTAACTGATTTAGGAAAACTATTAATTTTTCAATTTTATCTTGTTTTCAGCTCCTTTACAAAGTTCTTAAACTTCTTATTTTTACTTGATTCTTCTAACTCTATTTCTTCCTTTCTAATTATGCATGTTCTTCATTTCACGTCATATTGCAAAAATCAAGATATCTTCGAATAACAAAGAAGATAGCAGTATTTGCATTTTGTTATTTATTCTAACAGAAATTACGCTGCCATTTCATCACTAAAATAATATTAGTTGTTGATAAACTTTCTTGATCCATTTTGAAAAATCATCCAGTTTCAAGATTTTTATCTTTTCAGTTTTTGATAGATTCCTTTCTTATAAGACTACCAAAATTTTTCACTCTCAACTATTAAAACTTTGTTTATTATACCTTATTTGCTTTCCATGAAGTCCTTTCTGCTGATTTAAAATTATAATCCAAATGATGATATGAACATTCTGAATCTTTAGAAGAGAAATCTAAAATTGCTGTGGGGAAAAAAAGCATGGTCTTTACATAACAGTTTGTTCAATGTCAAATAACTTTTTAATGTTATATTTTACTCACAATTTACTTACAATCATTTTCAATTGAACCCTTATTAGACTCAGCCATCACTTGAAAATTGTCTTCAATGTTAAAGCTAGTACTTCCTTTTGGAAAGTTTTCTTCATCTGGGAACTAGATAACAAAGATCCATTTACCAGTTTATTTAGTAAAAAATAAAACTGTGTGTGCACACCTATATCTTTGTCTATCTGTATGTTTTATTATCTCTCTCTCTCTCTCTCTATATATATATAGACACACACACACATACATACAGTTTATGGTTACAACTTGAGAGAGAAAAACAGAAATAAATATGTTATGGAGCCAATTCTATTCAGGGAAAGCAAAGTACATAATTTTCCATCAATTCTTCTGACTCATATTTCTCACATCTTAACATCTTTGAAATAGGGATGTGCTGTAAAAGCGATGGCATTTTTACCTCTCTCTAGCACAGACAACAGTTGTGACATAGTTGTGATTGCCTGCGTTAAGTGCAATTACGTGAAAATTAGTCATACTGTTCATATAATCGCTTAAATATGAGTTTGTGCATTAATATTAGATATGTTAAATAATTTTGCTGTTTAAATGTCTTCAAAAAGATTACACTATGATTTAGCATTGGACAAAAAAGTATGTGTTCACAGAAAGGCAAGAAAACAAACCAGTGTGACACACAATAGAAATCTATGTCCAAACAAGTCTACAAGCCTTCTTTCAAAATAAATATAACATTAAAAATCTAAGTGAAGGTGAAAAAGTTCCAGAGATCTGTTTTATATCATTTTAAATACACTTCACTTTACTGAACTGTACACATAAAATGGTTAATGGCGCTGGCCCGGGGGCGCAGTGGTTAACTTCGCACGTTCCACTTCTCAGTGGTCTGGGGTTTGCCGGTTTGGATCCCGGGTGCGGACATGGCACCACTTGGAACACCACGTCGTGGTAGGTGTCCCACATATAAAGTAGAGGAAGATGGGCACGGATGTTAGCTCAGGGCCAGGCTTCCTTAGCAAAAAAGAGGAGGACCGGCAGTAGTTAGCTCAGGGCTAATCTTCCTCAAAAAAAATTAAAAAATAAAATAAATAAATAAATAAATAAAAATGGTTAAGATATACATAAAATTGCAAATTTTATGTGTTTTTTAGCACAATAAAAGAAAATTTTTTAAAATAAAAAAGCCTAAGTGATGAAGCATTGTCTAATGTTAACTGACTGCTCTTCTCTCTTGATATATAATATAATGGTGCTTCTTATAATCAGCAATAGTATCTTAGAAATTGATGAAATACAGAATATTTTGTAAAGTTCAGAGACTGCTATGTGCAAGTAAACTGTCAAACTCACTCCAAAATCTCTTATCTCTGTGGTGGGTCTAGCCATTTTGCCCTAGAACATTTTTTATAAACTCAGGATATAAAACATGACCATACTGATGTACGTAAAATAATTAGAAATAAAATGAATGAATGGACCTGAGTTTCTTTTTAAATGTGGAGAACCTCTCAAAAAACACAGGAAATGAGAAACAGAAACATCTTTTATCTTTGATGAAACCAGGAAACAATGGTAACCCTGAATTACAATACAATATTACAAGGATGGGGAAAGAGCATACACTTGGCAATATGGAAGAAAAATCAAACCAAAGTACCTACTACAAGAGCCCCAATAAGAAGTAAACTGATTGGGGGCCAGCCCATGGCCTAGTGGTTAAGATCAACATGCTCCACTTCAGCGGCCCAGGTTTGGTTCCTGGCCATGGACCTACACCACTTGTCAGCAGCCATGCTGTGGCAGCGGGTCACATACAAAAAAAGGAAGATTGGCACAGGTGTTAGCTCAGGGCGAATCTTCCTCAGCAAAAAGAGGAAGTTTGGCAACAGATGTTAGCTCAGGGTGAATCTTCCTCACCAAAAAACCCCCCAAAACAACAAAAAATTATAAACTTCCATTCGTCAAGAGGCATCATTAAGAGTGAGAGATAAGTCAGAGCTGGGGAAGATATTTGCAAAGTATACAAGTTACAACGAGTATATATCCAAAATATAAAGAATTCCAAAAATCAATTAAAAAGACAAGCACACAAATTAAAAACTGAGGAAGAATCCTGAACAAACATTTCATCAAAGAGGATACAGGGAAGGCCAATAAGCATATAAAAACGTCCCAATCTCATTGTTAGACAGGAAAATGCAAATTAAAACCACAGTGAAATACCACTACACACCCAGCAGAATAGCTAAAATTCAAAACAAAAAACTGTCAGCACCAAGTATTGAAGACGTAGAGTGATGGGGACGAGAACCGTAAACTGTAACCACCACTTTGGAAAGCACTTTGGCATCATCCACTAAAAGTAAAGATGGGCCTATCTGGTGACTGCTAGGAAGTATACCTAACAGAAGTGTGTCCTGTGTGTACACATTCATGACAGTACACGAATGTTCACAGCAACACTATCTGTAATAGCCCCCGAATGCAAACACCCCAGACAACTGAAGAACGGATAAACGGGGCCATATTCATACAGTGGAATACTACACTAGCAAAGAAAACGAAAAACTACAGCCACAGGCAACAACACGGATGAATTTCAAAACTGCAATACTGAATGAAAGAAGCCAGACACAAAAAATACACTGTGTATTACTTTATTTATACAAAGTTTTAAAAGCAAAACTAATATTTGGTGCTCTAAGTCAAGAGAGTGGTTATCTTTGAGGAGAATGGAAGGGGCACTGACTGAAAGGGGGCAGAAGGGGGACATCTGGAATGCCGGTAATACTGTTTCCTAAGGGTGGAGGTTACATGGGTGTGTTCACTTTGTGGTAAATATTGAGCTGTGCACTTATTCTGTATGTGCTTTATGCTTTAATACAAAAGAAAAAAATTTAAAATCTCTTTAACAGATACTATTTCAAATACGTGTATATCATTCTGTCTCCATGACCTCTATTTCATAGTAATGAGAGGTACTTGGGGCCATACTTGGGGGGGTGGGGGAGGAATATTAGAGGGAAAAAAACCTACTAGCTGTGAATCATATTTTCTGTATGTAATCTGCCTATCTGCTCTTGTCATGAATTCCTAGTCTTCCCTGAAGGGAAAAGCAATCGTTTAAATTCCTGATCCTAAAAAGGCAGCAAATCTCTCAAATAAAACATTTTTGCCTTATTTAGTTTGATTTGAGATATTATACTTCTTGTCAATTTACTAAATTCCTTTTTAAGTTACAACTGTGCAAAGATTTAAATATACTCTCTTTAAAAAGTTTAGTATTGACATAAAGAAAATGACTTGGCAAGATGTAACTATGGAAATATTTTTACCTGCAAGAAGTCAATCTGCATACAAGTGCTAGGCAACTTTGATGTCAAAAAACAAGTGTCCGTCATGCAGCTGCCATACCCAGCACTCTCTGGAAACTGACTGTGTTCTAGCTGGGAGCTGTGTCCTCTGACCAGCACAGCACTAGTAGCTGATCCCTTTACTTGGTGCCCTTGAAACTCAACAGGCTACAGGTAAATTATTAAAAATGAGTATTGCATAAGTATATATTGACATATATAATCACGATGTAGATACACATAGAAAATAATACATAATTCAGCTTTCTGTTAAATATTACTTAATGTAAGTAATTACGAAGGGATTAATACTGAAAACCAGGAAATACTCCTATTATCCTAAAACATATGTTAAGGGTAGCTAATTTAAACTGTATTGATTTAACTGAATTCAAGTTCAACATTAATAAGTATGATTTTTTTTTATTATGAGCATAAAAAGTGTAGTAATAATGGATTGATTAAGCCAGAAAGACACAGTTGCTCCTTTCTCTATGCTTCCACTGTCCATGACACAACTTTCCATTACAGACAGCACATACACCATGACGTCTTCTTCTCTGTCTACTAACTGCTCTGTAAGCTCCTTGCGGGCAGAGACCTTTCTGTTTCATCAGGGCAGCACCAGCATTTAACATGTGCTCGGCATACAGGAGGCCATCAATAAACACATAACAGGGAGGGACAAAAGGGAAGGAGCACAGGAAGCATTCGCCTTGGTTTAAGGGTTTCGTAAACTATTGGGCTTAACACAAGAGGGCTGGCGGGCTCTCTGCCTCCCCAAAGACATGATCCCACTGCTCGGAGAACAAAGGCCTAAGGGTTCACACAGAAGTGTGACTCAGAGAGGTGCTCTCATCCCCTCAGAGACTTGGTCTGCTTTCGGGTGGCAAATGGCGTTCTCTGCTGCCCCCTTGAGGGTTCTAGGATTTTTACTCCACACAAGGTAACAAAGCCGACCCAAAATGCGGAAAAATAAGATTGCTAATAGAGCTAAAGGAATGTACATGAAGCATGCATTTATTGCTAAATGATAAATTAACAGAATGACAAGAATATAAATCTGAATATTATTTATTTAAAAACGAAGATTCTAAATCACACATTTGAAAGGAAAATCAAATCTAAAACGTCCTCTATACAGGACTTTTGTTGAAAATATTATGCTGAATTTTAAAACATACACATTTCAATAAAAAAAGTCTCAACTCGTAAAGACTCTGTATATTTCTGATTTGTTTGATGGGGAATACACATTCTCCACAAGCAAACAGATGCCTTGTTTCCTAAGTTTCTATGTAGATCTTTTCCAAAGGTCTGTTGGGTTTTAGGAATAGAATCACTATTTACAAAAGCCATCCATTTATGTGTTGTTGTCTCTATCCATTTTCCATGTGGAGCAGGTAGCACTACCGCGAGCTCGGGTTACATGTGCTTCTAAACTTCCAGGCAGAGGGAGAAGTGTGGAGTAGACGATAGTAAGTTAAAGGCTATAAAGAGCTTCAGCTTGTCCTCCACAGAACATTCATTAACTGTGCTTTACACATCTTCGTGTCCAAGCCCTGGGGCATCTATGTATATACACTGCATTACTAGTTCATTGCTGACAGAGAGAAGGCTCAACGCCAAGTTTCTCTTGTTCTTAACACCAGGTCAATACATTCTGCTCACTCACCTTCTGCCTATGAACTCTGATAGTCGTATAAAAACAGCAGGAAAACACAAGGGGGTAGAAAATCAATGCTCTTCACAAATTTTACCTTAGGGTCGCAGGTTTTTCTCTCTGTTTGTTTAGGAATAACAGCCAGAAAAGCAGTCTCTTCTTCACTTCCCAAGGAAAAGAACTAGAATACAATGTCAATAAGTGTGTTAGCTAAAACAGTTCTGTAGGTGGTTCATGAATTTCCTGGGAAAATGCTCCCAGAACTTAAAGCCATGTTTGTCCTTTGAAGACAGACTTGCTATCTCCATCTTGCTTCTCTCCACACACACATATAAGAAGCTACCCTGGCAAAGCAGTTCTCCAGCACATAAGGTAGTAAGCTAATCAATGTAAAACGCAGTATGTTAGAAAATAAGAATTCTAAAATGTCAATTGAATCTTTTAACACTAGAAAAATTGTTGGGTACATAATAAATCACCCATCAAACCTAATGCTTATGTTAATGCAGATTATTTAATTCAAAAATTAGTATGAAACCAAAGGAAAAATTGTAAACAGTGTAACAGTGTATTTAAAGAATGATGGAGGCAGCCCCCGTGGCTGAGTGGTTAAGTTCGTGCACTCCGCTTCGGCAGCCCACGGTTTCGCCAGTTCGGATCCTGGGAGCAGACATGGCACCACCCATCAAGCCATGCTGAGGCAGCGTCCCAAATGCCACAACCAAAAAGACCCACAACTAAAAACACACAACTATGTACCAGGGTGCTTTGGGGAGAAAAAGGAAATATAAAATCTTTAAAAAAAAATTTAAAAAATAAAGAATGAATCATCTTCTAGCAACCATAAAACAGAAGATATAGACAACAGTAGCTACTCATTTTTAGTTCAAGTGACTACATAAAATAACCATAACTTCTAATATCAATTGGACAGACTTAGAACTGAATTCAACTGCAGAAAACAATTTTTTTTATGTTTAAAAAATGTAGAGAGGGGCCGGCCCAGTGGTGCAGTGGTTAAGTGCGCACATTCCGCTTCAGCAGCCTGGGGTTTGCCAGTTCGGATCCTGGGTATGGACCTGGCACCGCTTGGCAAGCCATGCTGTGGCAGGCATCCCACATATAAAGTAGAGGAAGATGGGCACAGATGTTAGCTCAGGGCCAGTCTTCCTCAGCAAAAAGAGGAGGATTGGAGGCAGACGTTAGCTCAGGGATAATCTTCCTCAAAAAAAAAAAAAAGAAAAGAAAAAATCTCAATAGACAGAAGAGGTAAAGCAGTATATTTCTTTAAATAATGGTCACCTTCCTTTAATAACACTATATATAAGCCAACAAAGTAGCTCTTGAAAACATTCAACTCATATTTTAGAATTAGAATTTTCTCATATGGTGAGTTTAAAAAATCAATTAGCATAGTACCTTCTCTGCTGGAACAGCTCCTTGGCTATGTGTAGCTAATTATACTTACAGAAATAAGGTGGAGGTGGCATTATGTGTATCCTGAAAGAGCACCCTAACTTTAAAGTTTTGAAAGTTCCTCTTATCACTAATGTATGTGAAGAAGTTGTCTCTGAGTTGTAGTAAGAAAGTCATTAAAACACACAAATATACTCGTATAATAATGCCAAAAAGATTTAAATAACTTTTTTGAGAAAGATTTTAAGACCTTTTTTATTACTGTGAAATTACAACAGGTTTTTTTTTTTTTTTTTGAGGAAGATTAGCCCTGAGCTAACATCTGCTGCCAATCCTCCTTTTTGTGAAGGAAGACTGGCCCTGACCTAACATCCGTGCCCATCTTCCTCTACTTTATATGCGGGACACCCGCCACAGCATGGATTGCCAAGCGGTGCCATGTCTGCACCCAGGATCGGAAGTGGCAAACCCTGGGCCGCCGAAGCAGAACTTGCACACTTAACCAGTGAGCCACAAGGCCATCCCTCAACAGATTTTTTTAAAATATGTTTATTTGACATTATATGACATTTATTTTAAATGGTAACTCACTCTGGAGGAAAAAACAATGATAATATTTATTTACAGGTTATACTTTGTGATAATTATACTTGAAAAAGTTTAAACCCTATCTTTTTCAAGTGAAAGAAAAACAGTAAGATTGTGATCATTTGTAAGCTAAATTATGCAGTTGCTGATTGTTTATCATTTTATACATTTGATCTTATTATATAAGGGTGAAAAATGGTTGAGCCATCACAAAATGGATTTTGTTTTGTTTTGTTCTCTTTTAGGCAATAGAGCTTCACATGCAGCTGCAATTGTCAATGACAATTCTTGTATTAGGTAATGCTTATAAATTTGCAAAGTTAGCTTTATGATAAAAGATTTGCTATTTAAGCAAATCCTATTGACCACACAAGACATTTATACAAAAGACAGCAGGCCCATCTAAATGAATATAAAGGGGTAACTAGTTACAAATGAGTTTGAAAACTGACAAAATACAAACATAAAATTATATGCCATACCTATATATACAAATATAATTTCTGGCTACTTTACATTTTAAAAGTTAACTCACCTGCAAAGACTGTAGTGGTTCACTTTGTTCAACTTCATTTTCTTTCATAATCTTAGAAACAGAACATTAATATAAGGTAAACCAAAAGACAATAGTAAGTTACAAAAGAAAATATAAATTTCTATTAGACATAAGAAATCTAAGAACACCATCACTAATAATCAAAGAAATAAAAACTAAATGTTGATTAAACACTATTTTCACTTAGCAAGAATTTAAAAAGATCTTAACAGTACTGGTGAATATGAAGTGAAATAAATATTCACGTTGTAAAACCGTAAGATTTTTAGATTTGACGATATACATCAAGGACCTAAGAAAGTTGTTCTTAGCCTTTCAAGATATCACTTCCACTTCTGGGAATCAAATCTAAGGAAATAACTTAAAATGTAAACAATGATTTATGTGCAAAACATTTACTAAACTTTTATTTATAATAGCAAAATCCTGGAAATGATCTAAATGTTCAAAATAGGGAACTGTTTGTCCAAAGCATAGGATATCAATAGGATGGAATGGCAAATAACCTTTAAAAGATATATTTAAGGAAAAATATTTTTTTAGGCAAATTTTTAATAACGTGAGGAAAGACAATGTGTTATTAAGGGGAAAGGATAAAAAACTATTTGTACACGTCAATCTAACCATATTTTTTTAAGCAGGCCCAAAAAGGCTGAAAATGTTAATAATAATTTTGTCTGGGTGGCAGGGTTTTTTTTATTTTTTTTCACTTTTTTCTGTATTTAAAAAAGGAGGGCTGGCTCGGTGGCGCAGCAGTTAAGTGCGCACGTTCCGCTTCTTGGCGGCCCAGGGTTTGCCGGTTGGGATCTCAGGTGCGGACATGGCACCTCTTGGCAAAAGCCGTGCTGTGGTAGGCGTCCTACGTATAAAGTAGAGGAAGATGGGCATGGATGTTAGCTCAGGGCCGGTCTTCCTTAGCAAAAAGAGGAAGAATGGCAGTAGCTAGCTCAGGGCTAATCTTCCTAAAAAAACAGGAAAAAAAATCAAGCTTATTAAGAGAAAAAAAAAGACTGGTAACACGGAAAATAGAGTAAGATACAAAATGGGGGCAAGTGAAACATTTCACTTTCTTTTCTTCCAAATATGTCCGCTAGAAAGAGCAGTGTCATATAATGAAAGAACTGTCCTTCCAAAATGCTGGTGGCATCCCCACTGAGAAACAGTAATCTAGATAACCTATTCTAGAACTTCAATTCATCCTACTTAGTACTATTATTTCTTATATTATTACCACGGTTCCCAAACTGTGCAAGTAGGTACTTTGGCGTGCCACAGAGAACTCAACAGGGGCTCCACAAGATGTTTTAAATTTGAGGGAACTATACAGTGTCACTCAACACCTGTTGGACAATGAATGAACTAATAGCTCAAGGCAGTTCAGTTTCAACATCAGATTTCATGTCATTTCTATCAATGACATCATATCTTTGTGAAGCTGGGTTTCTGAAAATTGCTATGATAAAAATTAATTACCATGCAAAAGTCAACGTGGAACAAGAAAACTAATCTATTCCAAGGTGTGAGAAGTTGTGCAGTGCCCAACAAGTGCACAAATTCCCTTAGTAACTGTATTTATTTAAAAATAAAATGCTTACAGTAGGGGCCAGCCCCATGGCTGAGTGGTTAAGTTCGTGCACTCTGCTTTGGCAGCCCAGGGTTTCACTGGATCGGATCCTGGGTGCGGACATGGCATCACTCATCAAGCCACGTTGAGGCAGCATGCCACATCTAGAAGGACCCACAACTAAAATATACAACTATGTACTGGGGGGATTTGGCGAGAAAAAGCAGAAAAAAAAACCCAAGATTGGCAACAGTTGTTAGCTCAGGTGCCAATCTTTAAAAAAAAAAAATGCTTACAGTAATCATTGCACAACATATACATATATCAAATGATTGTCATACACCTTAAACTGATATAATGTTATGTGTCAATTCTATTTCAATAAAACTAGAAAAAATAAAAATAAAATTCTTACTAAGTTACTATGACATAATACTTACTAAGTTGGGGGGGTTTTTTTGTTTTGCTGAGGACGATTCGTTGAGCTAACATCTGTTGCCAATCTTTCTCTTTTTGCTTAAGGAAGATTCATCCTGAGCTTACATTTGTGCCAATCTTCCTCTGTTTTCCACGTGGGCCACTGCCACAGCATAACTGCTAATGAGTAGAGTAGCTCCACACCTGGGAACCAAACCCGGGCCACCGAGGCAGAGCACACCCGACTTAACCAGTAGGCCACGGGGCCAGCCCATTAAGCTATTTAATACTACTAACTAGTTAATAAATGGAACTGCTAGGTATTTCTTTTGGCCAAGGGATGCAATGAAAAAATTACTGAGATACAAGGCAGGTCATGAACTGAGACAGCTTGGACTTTCTGTATTACTATAATCCCATTACAAATTACAGGACATTCTATATTGAAATAAAAGAATATACTGATAGAAAAAAATACATATACCTGTTGAGAAGCCTGGTTCAGATGAGGAGAGTTTGGTATAGCTTGTGAAACAACTGTAGGCAACAGTTTCCTAGCTATAATGGAGAAAATCAAATGATCTTATTCATAAAGACAGCAGTGATCTAAAATTTTTTTGAACATTTCTAAAACTGACTGAAACAAGGAATACAACTTAAATTTTAAGATGAGGCAAAGTCTTGAAATTGCTGAATCTGGATTGTGGGTATCTGAGGATTCATTGTAGTATTAGCTCTGTGTTTGTTCAAACATTTTCACAATAAAAATTCAAAAAAAAAAAGAAAGCCTCGTGGCTGGCCCAGTGGCAAAGTGGTTAAGTTCAAGTGTTCGGCTTTGGTGCCCAGGCTCGCAGTTTTGGATCCCAGGCGCAGACCTAGCACCGCTCACCAAGCCATGCTGTGGCAGCATCCCACAGAAAAGAGGAAGATTGGCACAGATGTTAGCTCAGGGCCAATCCTGCTCACAAACAAAAAAAAAAGGAAAGCCTTTTTGATTACTTTCTAAGTCAACATTAGGAATGCTTCCTTTGCTTTTTCTTTTTTTTAAACTAATTAAAAAATAAATACTGAGTCAACAGCTAACAGCCTATACTAGAAATGCTAAAAATGAAATATAAACTGTTAGTAGCAAAAAAGCCAAGACCACCATTACACTGCTGCTGTGTGCAAACATGGAAAAGGAAAAAGCACTTAATGCTATTTCTGAGTCTTTCTTAAATCCATTTGACTACGGTTTGGGGAAAAAACTTCAATTTATTTTCTAAGCACAGCATGCCAGGCGCTGGGGAAAAAGCAGAAAGGGAGGCCCACAGAAGATAAACCAGATAAACTGCTTCCTCAAACAGAAAGAGGAAAACTGGCAACAGATGTAAGCTCAGGGCCAATCTTCCTCACCAAAAAAATAAATAAATAAAAATAAGTGGATTTGGAAACTTCATGTTGTTCTAAAAATAGCTTTAAAAAGGCACTGAATGAAAATTGGTGTTTTTTCCTTTCTTGCCTTTACTCAAGAAAAAAAATTCTAAATTAATATTTCTAAGATATATTCAATGATCTCACAAAAACTTGAACATACTTGAGAAAACGGGTATTTTTGCTGAGGAAGCGTCACCCTGAGCTAACATCTGTGCCAATCTTCCTCCACTTTATGTGTAGGATGCCCGTCACAGCGTGGCTGATGAGTGGTGCTAGGTCCACACCCTGGGATCCAAACCTGTGAACCCAGGTCACTAAAGCAGAGTGAGAACTTAACTACTACACCACGGGGCTGGCCCCGAGAAAATGTTTTGTAACACTTTCACACATCCTAAATTCGTTGGAAAACTGATTCTTCTCTAATTCGGTATTAAACTACATGAAGTCATTTCCTATATCCCAATAAACAGATTCAATTTTCTCAGATTGTTTCAAGAAAACCAACTTAATCCTTCCTAGAGAAATATACTTCTATCAGAAAACAAATACAGTTAATCCACATTACTCACAGATTCCGCCTATTAGCTAAAATTTATTCGGAACCTTCAAATCCATATCCTGTTTCTGAGGTCATTCGCAGACACACAGAGCTACAAAAAACGAGTTGCCTGACACACACATTCCCAGCTGAGGGAGAACAAGGCGACACTGCTTTCCTGAGCTCTCATACTCTAAGCAAGTATCCTTTTCCTGGCCTATTTAGTACATTTTTTTGTGCTTTGGGGCTTTTTGTTGGTGACTCTGCCATTTAAAATGCTCCCTAAGCACAGTGCTGTCTGGTGTTCCTAAGTGCGAGAAGGCTGTGAGGCCCCTTATGGAGAAAGGATGTGTATGAGATGACTTTCTCTCAGGCAGGAGGTGTATGCTGTTGGCCGTGAGCTCAATGTTAACGAATCAACAATATATATCAAATGAGGTCTTTAAATAGAAACACACATAAAACAAGGTTTAGTACTGATTGGTTGATAAAAATGTTCTGACCAGAAGTTTGAAGGAAATGAACTCTGTACTTCCCCAAAAAGCAATGGCTCACAGTTCACTAGTTCGGTGTTTGTGGTGACTCTACAGAACATAACAACCGCAAATAATGAGAATCAACTGTAACCCTCTTTTCCAACTTGACAAGAAAAGAGTAGATTTCCCAAAACCAGATTCTATAATTTCTAAATTTTCATGTTATGAATCTATATCCTTATACGACAATACATAGTTATACTACCCATACTTGTTTTTCATTAAAGTTTTTTCCTTATTTTTAATTTTTAGAAAATAAACTGTAAGAACTACCATAAAATTTAACATTTTAAAGAAACATTTTAGTAGGCACAATAATTTATTCTTTTTTTTTCAGGAATCCCTTGAGATATTCAAATAAGAGTTCAATTTTAACTTTTCTTTGCAAGTAGCATCAAGTACATTCTTCATTCACATTTGTAAGTATATAATATTTACTATATTTACTAATGTGTTTATACTATCCTTTTTCTTTTTAAAAATGCTGTTGGCAACATACCATAAGCAAAGTCAAAAGACTTACTGACAACTGAAAGAAAATATTTGCAACATTTTTCATAGATAAAGGGCTAAGATCTCCAATATTTAAAGAACTTACAAATCAAGAAGAACAAAAAGACCAACAGCCAATAAAAAACTGGACAAAAGCGTAGAACAGACAGTTCACGAAAAAACGTACAGAAACGATGCTGAAACATATGGAAAGATGCTCAATTTCATTGGCAATAATAGAAATATAAATTTAAAATACCCTGAAATGCCATTTCTCATCTATTAGATTGGTAAAAATTCAAAAGCGTGGCAACATACTCTGTTGGCAAGGTTGTGGAGAAGCAGGCACCCTCACACATTACTAGTGGGAGTTAGAAATGGCGGGAACTTTGAAGTGTCTAGTAAAGCCACACATTTACCCAGCAACCCTACTGCTAGGAATGTGCCTTGAAGACACACCTCCAACAATACGCAAAGGCCCATATATGTATACAGATATAGATACATAAGGTTACTTATTGTCACATTATTTGTAATAGCAAAATATTGGAGATTGGTTGCATAAATGATGATTCATCTACAGAGTGGATTATCACACAACTGTAAACAAATAAAATGAGGATGTGTCCTATGAACTACAATGAAGTGATTTCCAGGATTATTATTATTATTATTAAGAGAAAAGAAGGAAGGAGCTAAAAAATGTACAGAGTATGGTGCCTTTGTTGAATAAGAGGAAATAAGAATTTATACATGGAGTTTTTTTTTTTTAAAGATTGGCAGCTGAGCTAACAACTGTTGCCAATCTTCTTTTTTTTTTTCCCCTGCTTTTTCTTCCCTGAATCCCGAGTACATAGCTGTGTATTTTAGTTGTGGGTCGCTCTAGTTGTGGCATGTGGGACGCTGCCTCAACACGGCCTGACTAGCGGTGCCATGTCCGCACCCAGGGTCCAAATCAGCTAAACCCTGGGCTGCTGAAGCGGAGCGCACGAACTTCACCACTCAGCCAAGGTGCCGGCCCCCTGGAGATATTTATTTTTGCAAAAAGAAACACAGTTATGATATACTGGTTACCTGCAGCAGGTAGGTAGAAACAGGGCATCTGAGCACATGTTTTTATATAGCTTTGACTTTTGAACTAGGTTAATATTTTACACAGTCAGAAATAAAAATAAATCAAAAAGGATGGGCAAAAAAGCCCTCATACTGAATATAAACAATGAACTTAACTATATTTAAATCAAATGATAACATAATCACACTAAAGAAAAAAAACGTAACCCAAGTTTTTTGAACATACTACTCTATCTAGCTGTATACTCTGAGTAGGATATATTCTAAAAACAAGCCAAAAAAAAACCAGCAAAGGATCTGTGAACTTTACGAATTTGTAAGTTTTTTGCTGGTAGTGATATGGATGTAACAATTTAGAAACTGTTTGGTGTATATCATAGAACTGAAGTAAATATACTGATGCTGGGAACCAGGGCCCTCTCTCACTGTGGGAGTAAAGAAACACAGTTACCGAATGGAGGAGAGAGGAAGAATCCTGTGGCTTAGAATTGCAATTGGAGATATCAATATGAACTAACGATTTTTTTTAAAAAAAGTACATCCTAGCATGTATCCAAAAACATAGGATAAGAATGGATTATAATACACACACACACATTTGCTTATATGTACTTATATATGTTTATATATGCATGGGATATTTCTAGAAAGATACGCTGGAAGTGGACTAAGGGACTGTGATAGGAAGGATATTATCCTCTATTAGAACTGATTTTACCAAGTACATGGTAAAATCCCATTTAAATACTATGCAATTCTTTAACACAGCCTCCAAAGCAAATATCTTCTTATCCTTTCAGCTACAAGAGAACAATCCAAAACACCATGCAGTTCTCACCTTCGGGACTGCTATCCGGCGCATACGTCTGCAGAGTTTCCTGTTGCTTAAAGGTAGTATTTTTCTTTTTCAATATTTCCAAGCCTTCTAAAGCTGTAGTGTGTTCAGACAAGGATTTTAAAAGCGAAATGTTATTTACTAATCCAGAAAGTTCTGAAGAATTTCTAGGACTATTCCAGTATTGTTTGCTTTCTCCAGCAGTGTCTACTTCAATATGGTCACCAGATAAACTTCTAATCCTCCCCAAATCTTCAGATTCAGGAATATGTGCTTCTGTGTCTTTGGAAATAGAATGCTTTTTTCCCAGAGGGTAAAACAAAGAATCAGAAACTAGAGAATTTGATTTATCAAGTGCAATACGTTCTTCAGAGTGATTCTGACTGGCACCCAAGAGTTGGATACTGATGTCACTGCTAGAGGTGGAGGGTAAAACCTGTTCATCATTTTTGTGTAAGTCGCCTACCATAATAAAGGGCTGCGGCTGAGCCTGTTCTGAAAATAGGTTATTTTCAGGAGTTTGATTAGTGGCTTTGTTTAAAAAATGAGGAATATGTAAACTTGTATTTATACCTTTAGGTTTATTTGGAAGTGAAACAAAATCATAGTTAATTCTGACCTTGGGGGTAGATTTACTCACATCCTCATTATTATTTATGTATACATCATCAGTCCACTCTAAAGATGAGTCAAAATTGCTTAATGTGTCACTACACTCCTCTATTTCTCTTCCAGTGTTTCCAGTTTCCCAAGGTCTTGTGTCAAAACCTACACAAATTTTACCACAAAAGTGTGACGGCAGAGCCTCTTCAACAGGAAACGCCTCTGTAGGTGTACTCCCACTAGACGCTGAGAGAGGCACACGTTCACTGTCAGCTTCTTCATGGCTCGTATCCTCACATCTCTTCCGAACACCTGAATTGCCATCATTAACCCAAGTTTCCCTTACCCAACCCTCTGAATCCTGGGAAATTTTATTGCTTTCCTGTGATTCCTCCTCAGTGTCACTGGTTTCAAAATTGTTCAGGTCAAAAGTCACCTCCACAAGTGGTTGTGTTACATTACTGACAGGTTCATGAATAGTAAGACTTTCATTGTCAGTATGACTTTTAGAAAACATGTCAGTCGTATTATCAGAGATCCTAGAAGTGCTATTTAGAGAAGATGCCACTTGCAGATGTTCACATTCTGGCAGATACGACACTGGTTGTTTACACCCCTCTTCTGGTGTTCCACATATATTTACCTCCTCAGCATTTTCTCTAATGAGAATTGACCCTTCTACACACATCTGGTCATTCTGATGAACAGGTATTTTATCATTTTCCTGAATGTCTGATCCTGATAAGTCGTCACTTTCTACATTGCTACAGGAAACTGGTAAGCTGTTGCTTTCACAGAATGAAGGCGTTTCCAATGTTACTTCCTGATCCCAGGACTGATCATTATTATCTACTGGCTTGTCTTCATTATATTTTTTCCCCTTTTCAGCACATGTTTCAAAGAACTGTATCCTTTTTTGTACCAAAAGCTCTCTCAAATTTAAATTTATATTCTCTCCCTGGGACTTGGGTTTCCTTTCTCTACCATTTCCATCTTCAGCAGAAGAATGTGCAGCTGAACTCTGTGAGGATACATACATGGCCCACCGGCTTTTACTTCTCATGGTATTTTCTGATTGATGCTGGTGGTGTAACCTTTCTGTGCCCTTCACCTCAGCGCACTCTTCCCGTTCCACTAAGCACTTTGGTTTATTAGGAATGTTTATAGTTCCTTGTGGCTGTATCTGAGGGAAATGTTCTTTAATCTCAGAATTTAGTTCCTTACAAATACTAGTTGATTTGGACTTCAGAAGAGCTAATATCTGTGTTGTGCTTCTGATGTTTTGTGAAACCCCTAAACAGTGAGATGCCAAACTATCTCTTTTCATGGCCTCATTGGTCAGTAAAGAATCTGACTGCTTATTTACAGAACTCATAGGAGAACAAAAATAATTTTCTTCACACAGCATTTCTGGGTTAATCTTGAAGGATGGAATAGAGACAACTGAAGAAAAAGGTATGCCATTTCTCTCTCTGTTCTTGTAAGTGACAGTGTTCTCCGAGTCTGCTGGCATATTATTTATCTCTCTCTTGCCAACAGTAGAAAACAAAGAAGGTGAGCTGTAGACTGGAGAAAGGAAAGCAGGGCCAGGTTTCTTAGCCTCAAGTGATGCAGCTGATTCACCGTTCTCTGTAATAACCATTTTCTTTGGCACTTGACGTGGTCCTTGAAAACCCTAAAAATATTAAAATAAATATTAGCTGTTCCATTACCTATAAAGAAAATGTGAAAGAAACAGGCTAAAAAAAAAAAAAAGAAAAAGGAGTGTGTTTGTTTTGCACAGTAAAGTAATAACTAAGATATAAAGTTTGCTGGGGCTGGCGCCATGGCCGAGTGGTTAAGTTCGCGCGCTCCGCTGCAGGCGGCCCAGTGTTTCGTTGGTTTGAATCCTGGGTGCGGACATGGCACTGCTCATCAAACCACACTGAGGCAGCGTCCCACATGCCACAACTAGAAGGACCCAGAATGAAGAATATACAACTATGTACCAGGGGGCTTTGGGGAGAAAAAGGAAAAAAATAAAATCTTTAAAAAAAAAAAAAGATATAAAGTTTGCTAAGTTAAAAGGCAAACACTCATTTGTACTAAGAATTTCTAATCAGGGTTTACGTACTTTCTACCTAAGCATAGACTATGAAGTACCAATTTAATGACAGATTACAACAGCTTCACAATTCACTACTTCTTAAAACGATTTTATAAATACATATTGATTTATTATTTTCAACAGAGAAACTTACAGTAAACTTCCTTTTTAAACCAGCGGGCTGACATCCAAGGGACCGGCCAGAGGATATAAACCTCCTTGAGTTTAACTCTGGTGCTTCTTTAGTGACATCCTGTTTAACAGCGATGCTTCCAGCAACTTTAACCTCCTCAACAGTGATTAAGTATCGATCACTTTCTAAGTCATCTCCAGGCTTCACCTAAGTTGAAAAGAATAAATGTCAAAATCATATAAGTCTAATTATTTGATTATTTGTGTGTTCCAGTAAGGTCACCAGCACCAGCAAGACACAATGCATATTCAATAGTTGTTGAATGAATGAATGAATCAATCAATTCTTTATTTATTATGATGCACTAGTTAACTATCAACAAGCACAAAAAATGGTAATTGTTAACCAAACAAAAAAAAAGTCACTAATTTGTTTATTCAGCAATACATAGTGGAGACCTATATGAGGTCCTTCCTTATATGCTGGGGCTACAAAGGCAAGCAAGAAAACTGTGCCTCCTCTCAAGGAGTTCACTCAGAATCCATCCAACTAAATGAAATTTTTTAAATTAGAGCTATTAAGTATCAATTATATATCTTTATAAACTAATGCGAATTAGATACATACTCATAATTATCACAAATTAAATATTATTAGAAATTATTACAGTTGCTTAAACAGTCGTATTCCAAAAAACATTTTAATCACCTTAATTAACAAAATATAGCACTTGCCACCATCTTTGATGACAGTATAAAAATAAGATTATCAAGCTAGTTGATAATACAGAAATCTGTGTATATCACAGATACATGCTTAGTCTTTACTAACGAAATTATTTAAAATGAAATAATCACAGTTGTTACTCCCAATTAAACCTCTACTAAGACAGTGCTTCTCCCAAACCCTCTTTTAATAGATACAAAACTACCACAACCGCTATTAATGTCATATAAAATTTAAAAAGATTAAATACTATGACCAAAATCAACACAATGATAAGAAGAATATGCATTTTAACACTTTTAGAATCACTCTACTAAACTGCTAAGCACTTTACATAAGTTATTTCTAATTTTCAGACCAACCAAATAAAGTCCGTCTATGGTCTACACTTTACAGTAGAGAAGCTGGACAGAGAGGTTAGCTTAATTAGGAAGTATTTGAAAGTGGGAAATGAACCCAGAATGACCAATGCTTATATCCTTATTCTTTACACTAAAATATGCCTTTAGTTCCTTTTCCTGCTTTTTTCCAACAGGGGAAAAACACAGAATAAATATTTGAGAAAATATTTCAAATAGGAATAATTTCACAAAATATTTCCCACTGTAGTTCTCTGCCTACCAAAACCATGGAATAGAGTTAGACAACAGTCACTTCCTGGGTTCAAATCCCAGCCGTCCCACTGCAGCTCTGTGAGCTGGGCAAGTTACTTCACCTGTCTGCACTGCACTCCTCATGCATAAAAATCACACAGCTGTGTAAAGAATAAATGCAACAATATCTAAGAGCTTTCAGCAGAGGGTCTGGCTAATGATAAATATTCAATAAATACTAGCTGTAATTATAACTATTAGTACCATGACCATACTATTTAGCCATATTCATAAAGGAAGTAAAGAGATTTTTTCAAGAATACTTAAAAATAAGATAAAAACATTAAAATACCTCAAGGCACTTAAGAAATATACTATCCAAACAGCCTCCTTTGTCATCATATAAAATTGCCTATATTAAAACAAAATAAATGTTAAAAAGGAACAGAGCATAATTCTGCTTTTCTTAAACATCTTCACTAGCAAATCAAAAATTGTTTATAAGCAAATCATATAATGAAACAATTACCCACTTTAACTTAAACTAGAAAGTGTTTACTAAGCATCTATTCAGTCCCTGCAAGAAAGCAAAGGCATACACATAAAAAAATTCAAGAACTTAATCTCTACCAGGAGGATCTGGGAATTGAACTAGGAAGAAAAAAGAATTGGAATGCGTTAGAGGGGGCAAAACAGGAGACAAGATCAGTAAAGAGATTATTGCAATGATGTGGTATGTAGGACGGGGAGATGATTAGTGCCTTAAATAATTCATCAACCCTGGAATAAGACAACTGTTTACGAGGTATAATGAATAAAACTTGTTGATGAAAGGGATAAGGGAGAAAAAAGAAGCTAAAGTGATTATCACTTTCTGGCTTTCTTCTTGTGTCTCTCTAGCCATTTTTTCATAGCAGTTTCTTCACTAGCCCCTTAAATATTGCTGTTCCCATCACTTTAGAAAACAGTTGGGCAGTTCTTTAAAAGATTAAACATAGAGTTACCATATAATCCAGCAACTCTACTCCCAGGTGTATATACAGAGAAATGAAAACATATGTCTTCACAAAAACTTGCACACAAGTGTTCATAGCAGCATTATTTATAATAGCCAAAAAGTAGAAACAACTCAAATGTACATTAATTGATGAATGAATAAATATAATGGGATATAGCCATACAAAAGAATATTATTCAGCAATGAAAAGGAATAAAGTATTGATACATGCTTCAACATGGATGAACCTTGAAAATATGCTAAATGAAAGAAGTTAATTACAAAAGACCACATATTGTGTAATTCCATTCATGTAAAAGGTCCTGAAAAGGCAAATTATTGAGAAAGTAAGTAGATTAGTAGTTGCTTAGGGCTGGGAGTTGGCTACTGAGTAGTGACTGCTAACAGGTATGGGATTTCTTTTGGGGATGACAAAAATGTTCTAAAATTAGATTGTGGTGATAGTTGCAAAACTCTGTGAATATACTAAGAACCATTGAATTATATACTTTAAATGGATGAATTGAAAAGTGTGTGAGTTATATCTCAATAAAGCTGTTAGAGGGCCGGGCCCATCACCAAGTGGCTAAGTTCGGGTGCTCCGCTTAGGCAGCCCAGGTTTCACGGGTTCGGATCCTGGGCACGGACCTAGCACTGCTCATCAGGCCATGCTGAGGCGGCGTCCCACAGAGCACAATGAGAAGGACCCACAACTAAAATACACAACTATGTACTGGAGGGCTTTGGGGAGAAAAAGGAAAAATAAAAAATAAAATAAATAAAACTAAAAACCTTTAAAAAAAATAAGGTAAAAAATAAATAAAATAAAGCTGTTAAAAAAAATTGTTGCCTCCAAGGGTTCTTTTTCCCTCTATTCTTTACACTCTATATTGCCATCCTTTATCAGTCATGCTTCTGCTGAAATACTTCCAAAGTCTCCACAGCTCCCAAAGAATAAGAACAAAACTCCTTACAATGACCAATAAGGCCCACATAATACCTTTTATGTCCATTCTCACCCTTGCTCACTCTGCTCCTTGTCATTTGCCTAACCCACTAGACATACATATTCATTTACTGGTCTGTCTCCTCCATGTTATTACCACAAAGCAAGGGATTTATCTGTTTTGTTCCCTGCTGCATCCCCTAGAACAGTGGGTAACTCAGAACAGGTGCTCAAAAAATATTTGTTGAATAAAGGAATGAAGGAATCCACTCCAGGAGCTTCAATATCTCATCTAAATGCTAAGTATTTTCAATCTATATCAGTAGCCCAGAACTCTTTCCCAGATCCCTGTAGCCAATTACTTGAGTGTTTCTATGACACTACAAATTCGGTATGTTCAAAATTGAACTCAAAATCTTCACTTTTTCCCCTAAACTTGCTTTTCTTTTTGAGATATCCTAACTCAGCACCATAAGTATAATACTGAAACCCGGAAGTTACCCTAGATCCTCCTTGCCTTCATATCCAAGACCTTAAGATGCTATAATATTTTCACAATTTCTAATATTCTTTTCTTGCCATTGTCATTGCCAATGCCTGCTTGGTCAGACCACCATCACTTTTTGGCTACATTATTCTGTAGCCTCCCTATTATGACAGTCTTCCTAAATCCAATCTGACTTTCATCCTACATAACTTAAGAGTTATGTTAGACATTGCTTACCAAGTGAGCTCTCCAAAATAGAAACATGATAACGTCACTCTTCTGCTCCTAATTCTTCACTGGCTCCTCAGGCTGAGCTCACAAAGTCCTTTGTGATATGGCTCCTGCCTACTTCTTTAGCTGTCTATTCTACATTTCCCAGCACGGGCCCTTCATTCCAGCCATATTTAATTGCTTATAGTTCCCCAAAGTTTCCTACTGTTTCATACCTCCTTGTTGTTACAGCTATGACACCATCTTCAGCTCCCCTCCCTCCAACCTATCAATTTTGTTTACAAAACAAAACACTCCAAAAAAATTCTTCATCTGGAAAGACTTCTCTGAACCAGAGTCAGATTTTGATGTCTCACCTTTGTAATCTCATAGATCCCTAAGCATAACTCTGTACATATGATAATCCTTATGCTTAGATAAAACTCCCTTGAAGACAAAAACTACAATAACAGTTACCATTCACTGAATGCTTACAATGTGCCACGTACCTTGTTAAGGGGTTTACGTGTTTTCTCATTTAATCCTCAGGACAACTTTATGAAGTATCATTTCTCCCATTTTACAAAGAAGAGACTAGAGGCCTTGAGAAGCTAAATAACTTGCCGAGATTACACATCTAATAATTGAAGAGCACACAGGACCGAGTCCTAAGTAAAAACTTCAAGTTTGGGAAGAGAATGAGCACAAAGAAAATACTCAGAAGTGATGAGGAAGCAACATCAGGAGAGGGTGGTGTCACAGAAGTCAAACGAAGAAGAGGCATTGTGAAGAATGGGGGGGGCAAGAGTGCTCAACAGGGTCACGAGCAGTGATAAGAGGAGAACACTAAAATTTGGCAGATGGAGACGGTCACCATATCTAACAGAGTGAAATATCACCTAGTATATGATTCTCTCAAGACTGATAGGATCATATCACAACCAAAGGAAGAGATTCAAAGAAAATCAGAAAATAGAAGAGGAGAATTCTATACATAATTTCAGAAATCAGCAGCTTTTCTAAAGTGGTTTGTCAACTCTCTATGTACCATTTCACTATGAGCGTTATTGTGTTAGAAATATAGTTTAATAGGGAGATTTTTCTATGCAGTTAAACTCTTATTGCCTGCAAAGAAAAAATGGGTCAAAATGCCTAAAAGGTTTCATGGAAAATCTAATTTGAATTAAAAAAAATCAAAACAAATTAAATAATATTCACTGAACCTTTATAATGCACAAATTAATCACTGTGATATGGAAATCATTTAACAACTTCTGTTTTCACATAATGTCAACTTATGGTCACATCCAAAATTTTATTATCTACACAGTTTTCGTAATATTCAATCAAAAGGCAAGAACCAATACCTTAGACTTACTTTGTTTCCTAAGTGAGTAATCTTCAGAATTCCATCCTGCCACACTTTTGACTTCTTCATCTTTTGATGAGTATATAGTACCTAATTTCCAAAAGTACAAAAGTAAAGAAATGGTTTCTATTTATATGTATTAAGTGTTATACATTTTTATAACCTTCCTACGTATAAAAAATATTTAAGACATCTTTTATGGAAATAAAAGCAGATATCATAACAATAACAAGAAAACTTCAATAAAGAAAAACTGTGGGGGCCGGCCACTTGGCCAAGTGGTTGGGTTCATGTGCTCCCCTTTGGCAGCCCGGGGTTTTGCTGGTTCAGATCCTGGGTGTGGACATGGCACCACTCATCAGGCCATGCTGAGGTGGTGTCCCACATGGCACAACCGGAAGGACCTACAACTAGAATATATAACTATGTACTGGGGGGCTTTTGGGAGAAGAAAAAAACAAAAAAACAAAAAACTGGGGCCAGCCCTGTGGCATAGGGGTTAAGTTCGGCGTGCTCTGCTTCAGTGGCCTGGGTTCACAGGTTCCGACCCCAGGTGTGGACCTACACCACTAATCAGCCATGCTGTAGTGGTGTCCATATATAAAAGAGAGGAAGATGGGCACAGATGTTAGCTCAGGGCCACTCTCCCTCAAGCAAAAAGAGGAAGATTGGCAACAGATGTTAGCTCAGGGCCAATCTTCCTCACCAAAAAAAAGAAAGAAACTAGGTAGTACAAGGTAAAGGAGGGAAGAAGGAGAGGTAAAAATCTAAGGAAGAAACAGAAAAGTTAACTGAGCAACAGAAATAATTTTGAGCTTCCTAGTCATTCGTGGGAACAGAAAAAATGTGTTGGGTTACACAGTACTCATGATCTATGCAGTTCTCACAGTGTAGTCCAGAGACTCCTAGAGGTCCCCAGCACTTTGTCAGAGGTCTGTGAGGTCAAAACTATCTTCATCATGTTATTTGCCTTGTCATTCTCATTCCTTCAGGCAAGCATAGTGGAGCCTCCCAGGGTTACGTATGTGAAATATTACAAGATTCCATTTCAGACTGAAAGCAGAAGCACAACTGAGAACTAGCTGTCTTCTATTAAGTCAAATGTTAAAGCGATTTGCAAAAAGTGTATAGCAATGCTAGTCTTTTCAAAGTTTTTTTCTGTTATTATTTTGGAAAATGTAGCTATTTTCATTAAAAAATGTAATTTATGTTAAATGTAATGGGTTTTTTTGAATTAATAAATAAATACTTTTTAAATATCTGTTATAATTTCTCATATGAAAGACATCAATAGATAGAAGCCCCATAATCAAAAATTCTTTGGGGTCCTTAACAATTTTTAAGTGTATAACAGGGTCCTAAACAGACCAAACAGTTTAAGAACCACTGATCTAGACAGAAGAGGCATTCCAGTTCGTCAAGAGAAAGAAATTACTTCCTGGTGCCAAGCTTCCAAAGAATTTGTTCCAAAGAACTCTGTATAACAAACGTGAATAGTAGGCAAGAGATAGGGTTGCCAGATAAAATATAGGCCAACATTTGAGACATACATAATTAAACTAAAAAATTATTCAGCGTTTATCTAAAATTCAAATTTAACTGTGTCCTACTTTTAGGTTTTGTTTTTGGGTTTTTTGGGTAAATCTGGCAACCCTAGCAAGACATTTATGAAATGTGGAAGGAAGGAAAGAAGAAAAAAGGAAATAGTGAAAACTGGCAGACTTACGGTAAATTCTTGGCTTTCCATCATTTGTTCAGAATTTATAAACCAGTCTGGTCCAGAAAGTAATCAGTGCGTCTTCAACTATTTATACTACCTAAAATGAAAAATGACAAGGACTCTTCAACCCTCATGAAAAGAATAAGTATCAAATACAAGTTTTCCCCACAAACTCTTGACCAGAGAGAGGAATTGAAGAGTTCCAAGAGCACGTAACTAAAAAAGGAAGCACAGAGGTAATCAAATTATCTGCCCCTGAGGACACGAGAAAAGAGCGACACCACACTATGGAAAAAGAATTTGCCAAGTAGAGAAAACTAAGCAAAATATACAAAATAAGTATCACACTGCAAACATTTTTCCAGGTGCCATAATATGTATCAGAAACTGATTCACCCCCTCCCCCCATGTTTGGTTCCTTATAGAAAAAGCTGCAATTTTTTAAGTTTTCTGGGGGCTGGCCCAGTGGTGCAGTGGTTAAGTGTGCATGTTCTGCTTCAGCGGCCCGGGGTTCTCCAGTTCAGATCCTGGGTTCAGACAGGGCACCACTTGGCAAGCCATGCTGTAGTAGGTGTCCCACATGTAAAGTAGAGGAAGATGGGCACAGATGTTAGCTCAGGGCCAGTCTTCCTCAGCAAAAAAGAGGAGGATTGGCAGCAGATGTTAGCTCTGGGCTAATCTTCCTCAAAAAAAATAGTTTTCTGAATTGCTATGGTTACCACAAGATGGCCCCTTTGCGTTTTAAATTTTTCCTTTAACATCTTAAAGCCAATATACCAGAACATCTAGAACCAAATATACGTTCTAATACTTCTGCAAGGAAAAATCTTTTCAATATCCTTGCCACTAGTACTGTATTACCCTATGCTACTGGATAAAACTGTTATTGTGGGCAATTTTGGAAATCTAAAATCACTGATAGTGAATTGAAGAAGTAAACAGAGATGCCAAAGAAAATGATCACTTTTTTTCCTAAAGCAGTGGTTCCAAAGGTATGCTCTCTGCAGCAGCAGCAGCAGCATCACTTGGGAACTAGCCTGTGCTTTAACAAGCCCTGCGGGTGATAGGGATACATGCTCAAGGTTGAGAAGACGGCCCAAAAAGACCTGGGGGGATTCAAGAAAGCTGTAATTTGCAATTCTGGATTCAATTCCTCCTTGATACACATAAAATAGATAAAATAGGCCACCTACATAATATTTACAAATTACAAATATTTATTTAGCACTTACCACATGCCAGACATTATGCTAGGCTAAGGTAGTAAAATGAACAAAATATTATCCCCAATCTCAAGGAATTTTCGTATAACGGTGACAAACAGGAATTACAAGAAAATATGACAGGAATAAGCACAGGAGGGATACCCAACTCTATCTACTGCATTTCCGAAGGACGTAATGTCTAAGCTGTCCACTGAAATAACCATTAACCCAGGGAAGATGCCAGGGAAGGTATTTGCAAATATGAATCAATATGTACAAAGGCCTGTGGAAGACAAAGCAAGGCATGATCAAGGAACTCAAGTAGAACAGTTAAGGGGTCAAGTGTAAGACAGTGAGGAGTGAGAGATAAGACTGAAAAAGTGAGCAGTCATAGGATTCAGAGGGCCTTCTATGTTAGGCTGAATTGTCCCGACTTTCTATGAAGACTATAGGAAGCCATGGCAGGATTTGAAGCATAAGATTACATTATCTGACTTGGGTTTTACAAAGATTACTCTGGCTGTCACATGGAGAAAGCATGGGGTAAGGAGTAGGCAAATGAGATATGAATTAACGCCCCATGACATAGTTCACAGGAAAAGACCCAGACCTACAAAGGCATTGCCTTTCAGAAATATAATTCCCATATCCTATATCCCTCCCCTCCAGCCCACAGAAATTGTTAGATGCCTAATGAATGCCAAGAAGATAACAGAGAGGTCCAGCGAAACACATCATTCAGTGCTGTTGTTAGAGCAACTTGCTCCCAGCCACTCAGTGAGTTGGACATTCTCTCTATATAGATGAGACTACATGGTGCAGACACAGTGCTTGGCATGTGGCAGTTATTCATATTAGATCCTTTTAACAATAGCTATCATTTATTCTGTGTGATTATATGCTAGACACTGTTAAAATGCTTCAAACGCTTACGACTTTATGGTGTTGATACTATCTTCCATATTCATTTTACAAAAAATAAAACTAAGGTAATAGGTAAGTAATTTGCCCAAAATCATAAAGTAAATAAGTGGCAGATTCAGAATTGAAAACTAAGTTGCCTAAACTCTGGTGCTCATACTCACAAATACTACATTATATGACTATTTATTGAGTACCTACTACATCAAGGCAGGAATTGGACTAGATACTTTACATATAATATTCATCAGTCTCATAATCCTGAAGAGTAGATATTATCACCACAATTTACAGATTAGGAATCTGGTATTTACTAATTTAGGATTACTTACATGCTATTTAGGAATTGCAAAATACATTTCCCATTGTTTTTCTAAATTAGAGATAATACTTGTGAGATTTACAACTTCAAAAGACCTCCAAAAAAAAAGGAAAAGTTAACTGGATTTAAAAATATTTAGAAGAGCCCTAATTTCTACCTTCAAAGGAAAGTCAAAACGCCTTTCTTACCATTAAACAGGAAAAACGGTTTTAGCCAACAGCATCATATATTTAAGTGTGCAAGGATAAAACATTTTCTGAAAGTCTTCATCTATCCACATCTGTCAAACAATTCAAGCGCTGACTCACCTCTGAAAGGTAAAAGTTTAACGTGCCAAGAAAGTTTTAAAGTGGTGTGGAGACCTCAGATGTTCTGTGATAATTATATAATTACAGACAGACATACAGACCTCCACACATATATATACACACACATTATTCTGCTGCTTTATACATTTATGTATAAAATTAGGTGCTTTCATTAAAACGTGAGCCATTCTTCCCATTAGGTATGACGAGATGTTTTTGGTCCTTTTGTTTTGGAACAAGCAGGATCTTTCTCATCCCAAAGTGGTTCACAGGTCTAACAGTTTCTAGTCACGAACCCAAGATTGTGTTGAGACACCATTCAGTGCAAATAACTAAAAAGAAGCCCATATTTCATTTGCCAAGATTCTAATTACCATGACCCTGTGTAACCAAGTGACAATGAAGACTCGACCCTTTGTCAGTCATAAAAACAAACAGCAAAACCCTCTCTGGTCCTCACACGTATGCGGGAACCGCAAAGCAAGGGCTGGGAAAGTGGTGAAGACGAGGCACCACTTTCCACAGGGAGTCCGAGCCAGCTGTGACTGTCGCCACCCAATCCCGGTTCCACGCAGCACCCTTACCGGTCCGCTTCTGTCAGAGCACATTCTCTCGTCCTCTTGCCCCAAATCAGCTTCGCCGCCTCTCGCTAAAATCCCGCTGCCTATCCAGCCCCACTCTCCGGAAACCCCGAGAAAGAGTTCACTTCACTTTTCCACTGTACAAAATCCACTTTCGAATTTCCCCCGCGAAAGTCTGTGACGTCATTAACCCGCGACCGCAACCAGACCAGGACCCAATACTTAGCCCGCCCCCCCAGCGCCCCAGTCAAAACCGCCGTTTTCAAACCGCCAATCAAATTCTCCCCTGGCTGCGAGCCTCCTTGGCGGGCCGCGTTCTCCGATGCCCCGCCCCCGAGCCAGCCCACGCCTGTGACGTAAGCAACGGCGCACCGCCTCCGGCCCGGTCTTTTACGAGACGAAGCGGAGAGCCGTGTCGCTGCTCCTATGACGCAGAAACAGCCACGACCGTAAGGATCGGGAGACGGACAGGGCTGAAGGACGCAGTCCCTGGCTCTGTATTTTGGGCACTGAACGGAGTAAGTTCGAGTGGACCGTAGGGTCGCTCAGGTTGGGTGAGGTGTAAATTCCCCTCAGTCGTTTTTCATGCAGTCCGTTCTGTCATCTCTCGTCCCTCTCACCCCGCCCCCTCCCACCAACCCGTCGGTTCGCCCGTCCTGATTCTTTGTGCGCACGCGCAGAAGTTCTCTGGCAGCCCTTGTAGTTCTAGTTGTCAGCGACTGGGGGCGCGTGATGTCCGGCGTTGGGAGGTTTGGGGCCCGCCGCGTCCCTGGCGGCGTCGATGCGGAAGGACGGGTGCCGAGAGGGCCAGACGTCAGAAGGGAAATTGCCTTGCTTCGCAAATTTGAGATGTGGCGGCCAATGGATAGCGAGTGTGACTACTTGTGTTGTAAAATTAAGTCATTTTCTTTTTCAGGACTCTAGTCCTTGTCCTCAATGGAAGGGAGCTAACAAATAAGTGCTAAATACAGTGTACCAAGTGCGTTAATAGACGTACTTAAGAGAAAGCAGATGAGGAGGCCGTTAATCAGGGGAGACGTGGTGGTGGAAAGCGATGCAGAGCATAAGGTGCACTTTCGCCTGGGCCTTGAGATTGAGTAGGGGTTTATAAATCAAGGAAGACAAGACTCATTCAGAGCAAAGGCACACAGGCAGGAAAGTTCTCGGGTACCGTTGAATAGTTGGCTGTGACTAGAACAATGGTTCTCAATCTTTTTGGCACACCATTTCTTTTAAAAAAGTGATGAAAGCTGTGGATGAGCCGCCCAGGAAAATGCACGTCCATGTGAAAATATTTTGTGTATAATTTTGTCGGGAAAAATTGTGAAAGACTTTGAAATGGCCAGGAAAAGAAATACTGGTTGTCTTGTCTAGCTCCCTCATCCAGGTTATCTCTGCCTTTCGTTGCCGTTATTTTACAATTGTGTACGTTGTAGTAAACGATAATAATGGAAATTAGCCTTGCAATTAATTTTGCAATTATTGCCCTGGCCAGTTTTGCATTTATTAACAAGTGGATTTCAACGTTCCTAATTGCTTGTATTTGTATGTGTCTGGTTTTTGAATTCTTCTTTGAACTGACTTTTAACATTAGTTCCCTGATGAATTACTTAAATAAAACCTTTAATATGTGTTCACTTTATATTTGTATGATAGTCATGATTTTACCTTTTCTTTAAAGTTTATCTTTTAAGAGTATCATGGGATTCACAAGAATTGTTGAAACCCACCCAAAATCCCTTGGACTTCAGGTTAATAATTGCTGAATCAGAACATAGAATGCATGGTGACAGTTTGCAAGAGATTCTACCAAAAGATAGGCAGTGTGGGAGTCACACATACCTGAGCTTCCTTACCTGGCTCACTTTGCCCAAGTTGCTTAACCTTTGAGCCTCTGCAAGAAGTTGGAAGAAACCACCTCGTGGGATTGTGAGGATTTAAAACAATATATGTAAAGTAACTGTCATGGTTACACAGTAACTCGTATTCTTTGTTTGAAGCCCCTGTTCAGAAGCCAGTTAGCTGTCACTGGTTCATTTAATAGTTTTTTAAAAATACATACTATGTTACAAGAAGAGGCTAGGAATTTTTAGTATTGAAAGTTTTAACATCACAGTCACAAAATTGTCTGTGTTTTAGGTAAGTTACACAGCTTTTGTGAAGGATGGGTGACTTCTAGAACAGTTTATAAACTGTTCCCATGATATAGTGACAGTAGTTATAGAAAGCAGTGGGTGGAGATATGAGCCAGTCCAAAGGTCGAATTGATAGGACTCAGTGACTGATTGGTAAATGATAGTAAATAATAATGGTTACACATATTTTTTAAGATTGCTAATTGCAGATATGTGTTACGCGCACTAGGCAGGAGTTTCTGAGCTTAATTCTCCAAGCCACTAAAATAATTCTTAGGAGAAGGAATGAGGGAGAGGTCTAGACTGAGATATGAAAATGATGGGAAGAGTCTGGTTTCCAGAATTGTGACTTTCTGTGCTTTTGCAGTTCTGTCCACCATTTCCTTAGGTGGCAGCTTTGACAAGGAAAGGAATTGGAGAGCTGGTAATCTGGCCTTTATAGTCTGTACTTTTTCAGAAGGAAAAGTTAGCAGTGGATCCTGCTCTAGTGATAAGCATAGGCTACATTTGTGTTTCATTTATAATTCTACCACCTTACAAAAGAACCTAAATGCTTAACACTTCAGTTTTTAAGATCCTTTTAAATGCATTATTTATTTAATTCAACAGATGCTTAGATCGTGACCAAGCTAAAGTTCCTGCCCTCATAGTGTTTACATTCTAGTGAGGTACACAGACAATACAGTTGTAATTCCAGGTTATGATAAGAGGATACAAGGATAGAAAGTGGTGACTGGGGGTAGCGGGGGGGGGGGGGGGGGGGGGGGGGGGG